TGCGGTGAGGTGCCGGGGGGGGGTGTGAGGGGCCTTCCAATGGAATATGGCACGCTGGACATAAGTGTACCACTGCTGTAATGCTGGAATGATGACAAGCCTCCAGCCACTAGGGGGCAGCAACTCATACAGTGCAGATAAAAATATACACGTTCAGATCAAGGGATGGATCGAGGAGTCGGGGTCGTAAATTGGGGGGGGCAGGGGTGGCATGACAGAAAAGAATTGCGAACCACTTAAAGTCTTAGCGTAAATTGGGGGGCGGGGGAGCAGGAAAGAATTGCGAACCACTTAAAGTCTTATTATCAAGAAATGTGTGTGTTACCGTAACTTTTTAAAACCATTTCATGAACTTCGTAATGTAAGAAACTGCTATCGGTGCTTTGGTTGTGAGTAAGGGATTACGAGGGATTAACAGAGTTTTTACTTCACATATGTCCATGTCTTAGTCACTTGATTTTTTTTTTTTTTTTTTTAATGTTGACAAATAGTATAACGAGCATTTTTATCGTTATTTAGCGCTTTATGGGTTTTAACAATGTGTAGCATTAGTCAAAGTAGCTCACTGTACTGTGCATGAAACAGACGGATTAAATACTTTACGGTTTTGTAAATATCTTTTGAAGATTTCATTCCAAATATACATAAACAGAAGGGCGAAAAAATAAAATAAATGTATCAATTTTACGCCTTTGGGGGTTTTTTTGCACTTCATTTGCAAAAAAAAAAAAAAATATATATAATAAAACAAAACAAACAAAAAAAAACCAGTTCTGACAGACTGATATGCTGATGCTGCCAGTTAGCTTAAATGTTGACACTCTGTGTCACTTATTAACCAGTGGGACGGGTAAAAAATAAGCAAATGTAAAATACACGAGCAGGTCTCAGATCAGTGGGCTTTGGCACTTTTTAGAAAACGAGTTGGTGACTACGCTTGACTTTTGTTTGTACTTGCATTTCATAGATTTTGAACTTTTACTTGCGATTCTCCTGAGGCTGTTTTTCTGCAGAGGTTCCTCTACTGCGTCTCTCGGACCCAGTCGATTGTTTATTTTCAGTTGAACCCATGTGTCACTGACGTACTGTGGAGGTTCAGCAAAGATAAAGAAAAGAAAAACACTTTAAATCCTCTACACTCCATCTGCGCTAGAAAAAATCGGTGGAACGCTTACAACCTGACGAACCTTTTTAGGTATGATTAAATGCATATATTCACGGCCTGTGCTCCCTCGCTACCTGCTGCTGAGGATGATGGGGACTTCGGCCTCCAGAGCGGTGGTTGGAGGTCAGGCAAACCTGCCGCCAGCATCTCTGGACTTTACGGATCCCGGTGCCTTCAAAGTGAAGAGCTGGACAGAGCTGCTACGTGCTCTGGGAGTCTTTTGCTTTTGCTCCTTCCCTACTCTGGTCAACAACAGCATGAAGGTAGGACATTACACTGGTGAACGTTGTCAGTTGTACCCAGCAGGACAATAGATCATTATAGAGCAACGGCTCGGGGGCCCATTTTCGGCACGCAAACCCTACACATCTGGTCCGTGTCTGGATTTCAAAGTAAATTTATTTTTATTATTGAAATGATTCAATTGAAAACTGGGACAAAATCTCTGGCCAAACTCAATATGTATTGAAAAATTGACAGCAATTGTGCATGTTTTCCCTTCTCTCCAGATATGTAATGGGGATTTTTTTTTTTATATGGAAACAAACTTTACTTTTGCGTAAACATCTGAAACAACCGAAGCTTAATATGATAAACACATGAGAAATTAAATTTGAAAATAAAACCCACATCAGAGGTATTTGTTTTTTATTGCGTCTTTTTATCTGTAGCCTTTCCAGTTCCTTTTTAATGTGAATCTTTTTTTTCGCAGGCCTCAACCTAGCGCATACACGGCTAATACTACAAATCCTGCTATATACTGACGGGCCAACACTAGTCACATTTGATAAGATCTTACGGGCCAAATAATTACACTGTGGGCCAGATGTGGCCCCCGGTCCTGAGTTTGACACTTGTAATTTAGATGGTAATTTGCGAATGAAAAAAATACTACCAGCTGTTTGCACTATAATATTATTACTGCAGTGGTCCCTAGCTTTTTTTTTTATATCAGCGACCGGCCATTACTGTGGCAGAACATTTAATTATTGGTATGACCAGATACTCGTTGAATGAAGTAAATCCAGATGCGGCCAGGGCCCAAATGACCTACGGACCGGGGGGGTGGAAGGGGGGTTCCCATTGTGATATTTTTAAAAAAAAAATCTGTTATTGTCGAGTCACTAAATGTGATTCTTTACAAGGCAGTCAGAGGAAGCAACGAGGCTGTGTCTGTGTCCTTTCCTGTTCCTAGCTGATGACAGTGACGCGCACCGTCCTGGGGAGAAGGGCTTTTTCCTTCATCGTTCGGCCCACCATCTATTCTCAGTTTGTAGCTGGAGAAAACGAGACGCAGATCTCGGAGTCCATGGACAAGATGAAGCGCCTTGGACTGAGGCCCATGCTAGCAGTTCCGATTGAAGAGGATCTCGGCGAGAGCATTGGGTCTGCATGTTTATTTAACGCCTGAACGGTCAAGTACGCAAAAGTGTTCGAAATTTGCTTCCTCCCCTGCAGGGGGTGCTGAAGATTTAGTTTCAATGGCCTGATGTATATAATCGGGGGCTCCTATACAGCATTATATTGTGTGATATAAATGTAAACTGAGGTCCAGTAACCAAATGTTGACCTTTGAAAAGATCTTCTAAACAGAAAAAAAAAATTTAAATAATAATTAAAAAAAAAACAAGATGAAAACTTTGATGACACCATACTGCTGTGGATACCAAATCTTTGAATCTAAAATGTATATCTATATTCTCACATCAAATTATATTAAACTTCAATACAAAGGAATGACCAAGAGCGGAGGAAAGCATTGCCGCAAATGAACACGCCACCATACACTTCCAGTGCAGCGCCCTTCCTGCTCAAACTCAACCTTCAAGTCCGATTTGGACAGTGACCTAGCAAACAGGGATTCTCCCTTTGACATGTCTTTAGACAGCAGCTGGCCAACCGACAAACCAACGGGTTATAAATAAACCAGCGGCTGAGAGTTAAACCCTCGGCATTACTCATTTCCTCAACACGACAATATAATAACCCATGCGGAGAGATTTCATGTTTTAACTCGTTGACACGTTTCCATTTCTGGCCTACAGGGAAAAAAGATACGACGACAACATGGACGCCATGTTAGAATGCGTAAAAATGTCCCACAGCAACTCGTGGAGCGCAGAGCCGATGATGCAGCTGAAGATCACCGCCCTGATCAGTGCTGACTTGTGTGTAAGACACACACCCACCGACATACGTGCTAATTCAGATCTTCTGGTTGGCAGTAACGTGTACTGCAAAACCAGTGTACCAAAACCTGCTCTGATGTTTCTCTACCTCTGGTTTCTCAGGTGAAAATTACAAAGATAATCGCACAACAACCATTTGACCTGAATCAGGTAGTAAGGGCTATGGATGGAGAGGTAAGAGTACAGTAAATACTGTGTATACAGTGGGGCTTCGAGATACGAGTTGTCGATCCACTCGTATCTGGATTGTATTTATTAAAAAATAACTAAAAACGTATCTCGAGGCCCCACTGTATATATAAGGTTTTATAACATTTTTTTATAATAATAATAATGTAATATAATAATAATAGAAATTCAACATGCTTGTGCATTATTTTTTTTTTTTTCATCACCAAAAATGTTCAGGGAGTTGCTGATTTAGGATATGTGATGTTTTAACCTGGATCATGTCAATATTCTTTCTCCCCTGCAGGGGGTGTTATAGATTCTGTTTCATGACCTTATTCAAGGGCCGTCAATTACTGAATTTATCATTTTAATTCATTTCTAAAATGAACCAGATTACAATTGTAACTATTACGTTTTAACACGTATGCGCATGTGTGTGTGTGTGTATCGTGACGGACAACGGACGTTTTGAATACGTAGTGAATAAAAACCAACCATATGTAAAAAAAACTTAGCTCTGGTGATGCTTTGCATATGTTTGTCTATTTCTTTGTCATTTAAAAAATTCCATTATTTAGATTAATTACAATTGCTTTCTATTAACAACAATTGATCAGAATTAATCCCCACTTACCCTCTGACTAATCAGATTAACAATTTAATCATCTAACAGCCCCGTCTGGGTTTATAAAACGCAACTAAGAAACACACTTTTTGGTAAAAAAAGCACAGACAGTGAGAAGTTTGGTGTATAACTGCAGGTGGTCAGATGATAAGGGCTAAAGAGTTTGAGTTAATGTTTGCCAGGACTGTGGACACTGTGACTCTAAAATGATCTATGTATGTAACATGTGAGAATGGATGGAAGAAGGTGTTTCAGGATGGCCTGTATAAAGTGAAGCGAGTCAATTAACCATTGTTTCATATAACTGTAAAATCATTCTTTCAGAAAATCACCTTCCCTGGTTTAGATGATGCTGAACTCGCTCATTTCTCCTTCGGTTTGCAAAGACTCAACAAAATAGCAGAGGTACTCACATTTCACTGCAGTTCAGTGTCCGAGTGTCCAAGTACTTGTTTTTATGAATAACCAAGTGTCCAAGTACTTGTTTTTATGAATATACCATAATTTCCAGACTATTGAGCGCACCTGAATATAAGCCGCACCCACTACATTTAAAAAGAAAAAAAATAATTGTACATATACAGGCAGCACTTCTCTATAAGTCACAGGAATATTTACACGTTAGCGCTTTCTTGCTTTGGTGCCCCGAACAAAGTTGGAATGAACAGGGGAGACTTAGTGATCTGCTTCAGGTCCGCAGCTAACATTAGCTAGCTAAGGGCTAACTCCCTTCTCTTTGTGCTTGTCCGCAGCAGAGGTAAACAGAGGGAAGGGAAGTTGGGGTCTTTATTATCAGCCACACCGACCACAACAGAACATAAACAGAGTTTTAACAGCTCCTGTATAACCAACTCAGGCTTCAACACGACAGGACTCAAACTGCTCTCAACTTTAGCTACAGCTCTCTTACTCTCGCCCCACCCATATACACACACAGCCATTCACAGACAGACATACGCTACTAGTATAACACACACAGTAGCCTACCAGAAAAGTCATTGATCGCAAGCGGTGTGAACTTCGTTAGCCCGTAAAATTCCCTTCCATAAATTAGCCGCATCATTGTTTAAGGCGCAGGGTTCGAAGCGTGTGGAAAAAAAGCATATTGTGTATCAATGAAACTGTGCAATATTTAACTGTGCAGTCTCGTTAAGGCCAGTGTAAACAAGGTCCGAGTGCTGGTTGATGCGGAGTACACCTACATGAACCCCGCCTTGTCTGTTGTCACCATGGCCATGATGAAAAAGTTCAACAGAGACAGTGCGTGGATCTGGAACACCTACCAGTGTTACCTTAAGGCAAACATCTCCGCTCATCATCTGCAGTATTAATGTTAACTTTGCGGAACAAGGAGAAATCATCAAATGCGTCTCTGATCGTTTTATGTCTTAACAGGAGTCCAGGTCCCTTCTGTTAGAAGCTCTGAATCTCTCCCAGAAGGAGGGCTTTTGTCTGGGAGTGAAGTTGGTGCGAGGAGCCTACATGGACAAAGAGAGGAAGCTGGCAGAGAAAGAAGGTCGTCCGGACCCCATCCACAAGTGTTGGGAGGACACCAATGACAGGTCTGGACTAGTCAATAAATAGTTAAAAGGTTCTTCTTCTTCTTCTTCTTCATCTTTTGGCTGCTCCCTTCTAGGGCTCACCATAGCAGGTCATATACCAACACAGCGCCTTCTGCTTTTACACCAACTATCTCTATGCGGTTTTTCACATCATGGTGGCTAAAAGGTGAAACTGCACAAATCATTGCTCCGATCATACGTTTTGGCGGGAACTTGATGATGAGCGCAGTTTTGGCCGTAACTTGTTCTCGGAGCAAAACCCAAACAAGTGACTGCATTTCTTGATAAAACTATCAAACTATGTTAACACAGTGTGGTAACATCGTAATCTAGGACATCACAAAAACATCAAAATCCTCCGACTTACGCTGAAGGGCAAAACGTTTCCAAATGCAGCACAAGCCAAGGTATGGCATACAACCGGTGTATGTTCCAGTGCACAGAAGAATGTAGTTCTGTAGGTGTGAACACGCTGTTTTTGACACGCGACGTCCCGCCTCACCGTTAGCCATCATACATTTTAACACTATATTTAAAAGCATGACTAAGTGCGATGGAAGGATCTCTAAATATTTCATTTGTTTTCCTGTGTTGATGCAGCTACAACTCGTCTCTGGACATGATGCTGAAGGCCATATCCCAGCAGCCACAGCGCTACAAGATCATAGTGGCCTCTCATAACGAGGAGTCGGTGAAACTCGCCGTTACATGGTTAGCGTGTCCAGAAGTCTAACTTAGTGGCGCCCTGTGAGAAAGTTGATTTTTCAGGGTTATTTGTCAGGGTTCTTTCAATTGTTCTACAGATGTTTACGCTAAGATGCCGTTCAACTGTTGTTTGTCATGTCCAGGATGGACGAGCTGGGCATAGACAGAGGTGGAGAATCTGTGTGTTTTGGCCAGCTGCTGGGGATGTGTGACCATGTCTCCCTGACTCTTGGTGAGCACAGTCATTGTTCTATCCATCTTCACCTTTCATAGGTATTGAGTTTGGGGTGGACAGAAAACACAGTGTCAGGGTTTTATGTTGTCAGAAAGACTGAGGAAAACAGCCCGATAACTAGTATATGTCTAATCCACGGGTAGGGAAACTAAGGCCTGGGGGCCCGAATGCGGCCCGTTCAGCTTTTTAATCCGGCCCACCAAACTTTTCCAATTATATAATTTATTAATATTAGCATTATACCTCTGCCTTTTCCCTGCGATACCCATGTTTCCCCAATAGATGGTGTAGACAATGATAAAATCATTTTAGCATTTATGCATGACTTTTACATCTCATCTCGTCAAAAGGTCTTATCTATATTTACAGGCATGTCACGGGTACCACTGAATATGTGTATACTTAAGTCCCCTAGTACTAAAATACTTTGATAACTATACAAAAACAAAAACATTTGTAATTTAAAATAAGTTGGGAATCAGAACATATGCACCAGTCAGTCACCAGAGGACTAGGATAAGTGGTTTAAGAAACTGTATCAGTTATTTAAATGTTCAAGTTGAACAATTACCAGTAGGCAGTTTGTAAGTCAGTCTCTTTAGCCACCATAAAATATCCTTTATAGAAAATACACAAACTCATATACTGGTCCTATGTCACTCACCAATGCCAACACAGTGGACAACATCGCTATTTTGTACATAAAAGCACCAGAACATTCTGACTTATGCTTGGAAGCCATAACGAAGAGCCAAAAAGTCCAAAAAACACAACACAAACAAAAGAAAGCGAATGCAGCACAAGCCAATGTACAACCGGCGAACGTAAACAAAAACATCTTCCGCATAAAGTGTCACACGACGACGTATTCGTCCGCACCGCGCCTCAACCGGCTGCTGTGCGAAAATTTGTTTTAATGCTGTTAAGAGCTTTTTTGTAAATTTACGAGAGATGGCGACATAACCACAAAATGCCGTATGTCGATGACATGGAATTTGACAACAAACTTCCTTAATGATTTCAATTCTGTGGCGCTTTGGCCCAGAGGCAATGTCTCGGCGGTCATAGAGACTGCTGCCCCCACGACCCGGTAACGGATAAGCGGATGAAAATGGATGGATGGATGGATTTCAATTCTCAACTAAAATTGTAATTTCCATATTAGGTATAGCAATGTGTTCATGCTGTGGTTTAAAAAACCCATTAGTGGTGAATGAAAAGCTACATTTCATGTCAGTTCCACCATTTTCACCATTGGAGTTACATTGTTATTCTTTTGTCTCTACTGTTCCCCAAAGCTAAGGAAGGTTACGCCATATACAAGTCAGTGCCTTACGGTTCAATCGATGACACACTGCCCTACCTGGTGCGCCGCGCTCAAGAGAACCGCACCATCCTGCGGGGAATACGCAAGGAACGAGACCTGATGAAACAAGAGCTGAAGAGAAGGCTGGGCCTCAGACGAAGCAGCTCCTAATCTGTTTAATGAGAAAATGTTAAACTGTAGAAATCACTGATTTTGGTTATTGCTGCAACAACAACGATGTCCATTTTCCAACATCAACCTGAACTGTTTTTTTCTGAAAACCTCCCGCTACGAGTTAATTATTAAATGAACTAAATGTGTGCCAATCTTGTCCATGAGAACCTTTCACAACATGTTTGCTTGCTAAGTAAATAAGTAAACACAGAGTTTATAATTTGCTTATAGAATGACAGGCGAGGAAATGTAAAGAAAACCCAGCTAACGCAGTATTGCCACACGGTTAATTCTTTATTGTTTATATTTTTTTTTGTTCTACCCAAGTTTTAACATGAATCCAAAAACGCTTATCTGCTGTGAAGATTTGTAGAGGTGGACATCTGGTGCAGCTTGTTATGGAATGAAACTATCTCAGACGGTGCGTTTAAAACCCCACACTGCCGGCTCAGTAGTTGCTTTGGTTCTGGTTCCTGTAGCCGCCTCTCTGATAGCCTGACTGTTTCTGCTGGTAGCCACCTTTCTGATCTGGGAACAAAGATTTAGGGGAAAAAAAAAAGTTTTAATAGATTTAACAAACAGTAAAGCATTTGAACATCAGTATGTTTGGTTCTTTTGTCTGAGTTTCATTTGTGGTTGATTTGGGGATGCAAGCTTTAATTCAATATTGACTGTGACTAAATGATCACGGTGATCTTGTTAACTAGGCAAAAGTAAGATTTTCTTGACCTTAAAGTAAGAAATGTTTGTCATCGCGTCATCTTGTTAACTAGGCAAAAGTAAGATGTTCTTGACCTTAAAGTAAGAAATGTTTGAGAAGGAAAATGGAACTCTTTGCAATATCTATGATGCAATATGCTCTTCCAGCATGCCACAGACTGCAGCTGCTGAGGTGATAGTGTCAGTGTTTACGGCATGTCGGGCTAAGTTGAGCATTTGGGCTTAGGTATCTGATCAGATGGACTATAGTTGTTTTTTTTTGTTATCCTGAAATTTTGACCAGTATCAGAAAAAAAAAACATTTTTTTTTTTTTTAAATTTGACTGAATCCTTCCAGGCTCCCATCATTTAATGGTCAGATTATTTTTTCAAAGTATAAATTGAGTAGGGTGTTAATCATATTATAAATTCTGAAAAAAAAGTAGGTGAACGTACTTTGAAATTCAATTGCAAAAAGCAATTAATAAACAAGAAAGGTGTCTTAAAAAACAAAAGAAATATAGAAAGAAAGCTGAACAAACCTCTCTGGTAGGACTGTTTCTGTTGGTAGCCTCCTTTTTGATCTTTAGTAGAAAGACACAGTAATGGTTAGTTGGTTGAATGATCAAAAATAGGACGCTTTGTGTACCAGAACAATCAGTGCTATTTCAGACTCTGACCTCTGTTGAAGTAGCCTCCATAAACGCCCTGCTTGAGGTCGAACACTCGCTCGTTGTTCTCCACCAAGCTGCCCAGTTTCTCTGCCAGCTGCAGAGCCATGTTCTGGAGTGAGGTGGGCTCGGTGCGGTGCATCACCACCGTCTGCGTCGGCTGGTCGAGTGACGCCTGTTGAAAGAAGAGAAGGAATATTTAATGATAATAATAATAATAATAAAAAAGAGGATAAAGTCACATTTTTAGATGACGCAGAAATTCAATTCACCAATAACAGACCACACTCACCATTAATTCTTCATTGATGATCATTTTACTGATGATGCTGTGAACCATGGGTATTTCCAACTCAAACATCTGAGACAGCATCTCCATGCTGGAAAACAGAATATCAAGATGGAGTTTCATTTAATACTGTCGAACAGTGGTCACGCATGCTGGCGAGGCATGTGTGAGCTAAACACTAAAGACGTGTTCGATTCCCAGAGGAACCACACACTCTGAGGAGGGAAGTCTGTTGCAGCAGATCTGGTGTTAACACAAGAATTCCCCAACTGTGGGATCAATGGAGTAAAAATTATATTAAAATGACGATTAAATGAGTTTTGATTTAGGCAGCCCACAATAGACCAGATGGCGCGGCTCAGTTGAAGTCAGAGTTGAAGTTTGACAAGTTTATTAATTAACTCAACCAGAATTAATTTTTTTTGGAAGACTTGATTGTTGTATGGCAGCTACAGTTGTTCTGGCTGGTCCTAAACAGTGTAAAATTTCACACCATCTAATTTAAATCTGAAATTTCCTATGTACGTAATGCGAACATAAATAAGGCCCAAGTTGAACCCTTTTGGTTGATGGCAGGCCGCGGCGCTTACCTGATGGAGTCATACACACTGCTGTATGTGAAAAGATAAGTTCTCAGTGACTCTTCCTGGATTTTCCTGTCGAACGGATACAAGTGAGAGAATGAAGTTTAGCACTTCGATCAAAAAAAATGAAGGATAAAGATGAATGGAACGAGGTCTTTTTTTTTTTTTTTTTTTCCCCCTGACCTGACCAGCATCTGTTTTTCTCTCTGAGTCTCAGGAAACAGGTCCCAGACCTTGCTGTTCATCTTCTCATTGATGATAAATGTGTGGCAGGTCCTCCAGTCTCCCATCTTCATGGCTTTGCTGGCAGCTACCACATGCTCCCTCATGCTCTCTGGGGGTCCTGGTTGGTGGAAGGAGGGGGATAATGTGTTGTCCTTCAAGTTTCCACTGCCTACCTTTCATGTTTTTTTTTTGTTTTTTTTTAAATTAATTTCACACTGCATACCCAGTAATGGCTGCCTCTCTCCCACCCTGAGTTGGTGATGGAACTGTTTGCTGATCATCCTGCGGCGTGCATCAAATTCATGTGCAGCCATGTAGGGGATTTCCAGCAACATGGCAGACACCAGGTAGACACACTCCAACAGCTCCAGGTTGATGTGCATGTGAAATGGCACCTGATTTTGAGAGAGAGAGAGAGATATTGATTTTCAAGTATTTAAAAACGTTTCACAAAAAATACTATTTAGTGGTGTTGTAGATAATAATCTGCCATTTAATTAAAAAAGAAAATAACTGATCTGTTCTTATTGTGGAAATAAAATGGGGAAAACACCCTGAAAGCTAGACGAGGTTTAGCAGATTATACAACATCAAATAAGTTGTTAAAACTCACTTCAGGGGATAAAAATGTGTGTACCAAACCTGTTCCAAAGTCAATTTTGTGTAATATGTCCCCTTTAAAAACACGAACAAAAAAAAAAAAAAGGGACATACTTGTCTTCTCTTTTCAATCTTTTCCTGCTCAGCATTCCTTTCTTGCATGTTTCTCATAAGTAAACCCTGACCCAAGAGCTCTTTCGCACGACCGGAGGACTGGATGTCGAGCAGGGCATTGTGGGCGTCTTTTATCATCCCCTGCCTGAATGCACAAATGCCCAGTTGGACCATAGTTCTGTTGTACAGGATCTAAGGAAAATAAAAAAGAACGTTAGCATTTCCAGTTCATCAGGCAGCATCAGTGCTCATGCCTCGTGTTAATTCTGCGTGAGTACCTGCACAGGTGGGTCAGCGTGCTGGATGTTGTCCTGCAGGTGACTCATCAGCATCAGGTCCCGAGCCTGGTACCAGCGTGAATGCAGAGCATGGTGATAGATGTGGCAGAGGATGGCGCACGTACGGATGCGGTCGGTGCGATCCTTGGCATAGATGAACTTGCAGAGGCGGTCCATGATCACGGCACTGTCCTCTCCTTCGCTCTCCACCTGGTCCTGCTCGGACTACAGAAGAGAGAATGAGAGCAGCATGTTATTATAACAATAAAAAAACACAAAAAAAACACACTTGTTTGGAAGGGTGCAACTTTTCAAATTGTAGAAGAACATGACGAGGGAGTGTACAGGTGGCTAACCTACATTTCTTTGTGATGCTTAAGATGCTCAAAATACAAGACTTTCAGATGAATAATGAACTTAATGTAATGCAAAATGTAACAGAGATACATTAGATAGAAATAGATTTTCTGTTCACAATACAATTTTTTTTAACACAATGAGCTCTAGACAAATTATGACCAAATACAATGATCTTTTGAAAGATCTATGGAAAATACCATCACCAACTGAAATGGTCTCGTGTACCTCGTAAACTGAACTTATCTTAAATAAGAGAATAAAAAAAACAAAAAACAAAATCACATTTCTTAACATCATTGATCTCCTCTTATTAAAAATAAAACTGGTCTGGTCATCATGAACTGTCAATATTTGAAAAAAAAAATTGGAAAAAAAAAATTTGGAAAAAATTATTTTCTTTACAGAAACACTATAAAACACTGGTTGTGTTTGTGGAAGACTTTCTTCCCACTTTTAGCCTTTTGTTTGACCACCTGAATGTCCCTTAGGCTACGTCAATCCCGATCTTGGTTTTATACAGTAGTTCATAATTATTTTCCGTCACAGAAATGTTTTCACACAGCCCATTGAGAACCTGACGTATTTTATCTGTACTGTTGTCATTTTGATAGTCTTAATAGAATCATCCACTTAATGACAAAATATTGATAATTTGTACCAATATAATATGGACTATATCATATCTGGAACTTGTTGGATTTTAGTCCAAATGCCCGTTGTACAGTTCAAATAACGAGCTTTCGGTGTATCTCTCACCTTGGTCTCTCCTTGGAGGCCCAGGCTGCGGCGATGGGCCTTGTAGTCGAACTTGTAGTATGTGTGCATGATCCGCCGCAGATAGACACGACAAATCTCCTCTGTGCTGCCCTTGTTCTCCAAGTAGTTCAGCAGCCGGTCAATGATGCCACAAACTCGCCCCTCGTCTTTCAGATTGTCAACATACTCTGGAGAAAAGGGAGCAGAAACACAGCAAAGGCTGGTCAGGTGATAGTTTCTCAAACGATGAGGTACTGCAGTAATGATTTAGAGCTTTTCCATTAACAGCGGGAGACGGTAGACCACACAGGTCTGTCCCAATGTTTGGAAACAGTGGACTGAGGCCAGGGGACAATACATAATTTGCTCGGCCGTTTGTATAAAAATTGGTTTTATATAAAAGTTTACAAAATTTCCCAATGCATTACATTAGTCATTGAATAAAAATGTGATTTCTTGTAGACAGAGAAAACCAAGGTGTAAATGGAAATTTGAAAAATTTGCAGTTGCATGTCCATTTTCAATTTATTTTCTCACAGCCTGACAATGCATTATGGCACATTGGACATACAGTATGTAAGTGTACCACTGCTGTAAAGCTTGAATGACAAGCCTCCAGTCACTAGGTGGCAGCAACTCATACAGTGGTTTGTACAGATGGAAATATACATGTTATCAGGTTCTCAAAAGTATTTCAATTCGCATGGGCGTGAAAACATTTCTGTCCCCAAAGGAGGGCATGACAGAAAATAATTAAGAACCACAGCGTTAACATCATCAATGGTACCACGAAGTAGGATCCTTTTTAATAATTCTGTCAGCTAGATTAGTTTCAATTAGTTCCTTGACCAACTTGCCAAGATTTTTGCTAGAACATAGAAACAGAAATTAAGGTCATAAGTGATTTATTTCCACAGCTTACCTTGGGAATGAGGATCAGTGTTCTGCATTATCTTGGTGAACTCTTCATCCATTCTTTCTGCCAGCGTCAAGACACAACCACGCACCCTAAAGGGCTACAAAACGAAGGCGAGGTTACACACCATCAACTACAGCACAGAGGAAATATACTATATGTACAGAAACATTTGAAAACAAAAGCTGATCGCAATATGATACGTTTAAAATAGGGCTATAGATTTATTAAAGCTAAGCATTAAAACCGTGACAGTAACTGATCATGATTAATCCAGATTTCCAATCAATCCAATCATCATGACTGTTTTCTGTAAACTGTTGGCACAGAGGGACAAAGTAACAGCTGGTAGATTTATGTCGTTTCAGATCTGTTTTCATTCATGGATAATCCAAGTAATTAAAGTATTAATATGTAAAAATGTGAAGAGAAATATACAACATTGTCAAAGAAAATGTAGCTTCACAGAGTTGGTGGATTTAAGTCATAGCTACGGTCCCTCACAACCCATTTGATAATTGCAATGATCTTGACGGCTCGGCTTGTATCAGAGCGGTCATCAAGCAGAGAGTCTGACCTGGAGTTGAATCCTGCACAAATGCATGCTGGGCATTCAGATTATATTTTAAGCTCCAGGTGCAAGTATGTGGTAAATAACATGTGTATCAACTGTGTATAAGAGCAATGATAACTACGTGGGTGAGTGTCATTTTGACCATGTATAAAAATGTGTGACTTTTTTTAAGGCCATATTAAGGAGCGAAAATGCAAATATATATATATATAATGTATATTTACTGACATCATAGCTCAGTACATTTCAATAGAAGAATAAATAAGGCACAGGCGCTAATCTGCTATTGTTTTTTCCCTTACAGACATCTCTACACAAATAAATGAAATGGAAGTTGAGCACCAAGATCAAAGTAAAGATAAAAAGTGAACGAGGTAGTCACCTGGTCAGAAATGGCCAGGTTCTCACTGTCCTCGGCTATGTTTTCCCCGATGAAGATGTTGTTGTGCTCAAAGAGAATGTCCAGCAGCTCATCAATACAGTCCAGGCATTTCTTCCACATGTCAGCCTAAAGAAACACAGAACCCAGTTTCCAAATTTAAAACACAGTACAGCATTTATTACAACTGTAATGCCCATAAAAAACAACAAATTAAGTATTTATTACAACTGTAATGCCCATAAAATAGCTGGAAATTTCATAATCATTTTTCATATTACCTTCATGAATGCTGCCAAGTTGGGGTTGTAGTCGTACAGTGAAGCGATGATGTTGAACTTTATCTTCACCAGGATACCTTGGCCCAGGTTATGCTCATTTGAAATAGCCGCTAAAGCATGGAGCAGTTCAATCTGCGCTGCCCTGTTGAATGGAAGGGTGTAATTAGTGACTAGTAATGACCTTGGAAAACAGGTTTAAACTTGATGTGATACGGACAACAATTTTGACGTGAATAAGATATGTTCCGATATTTAACTTGAAAATCATTTCTAATCAACAAAAATCTTTAGGTATTGCATACTAGGCCGGACCTAACATACAATAAAAAAGGCAATGCACAACCATTGATTTGATTATGGATTCATTATAAATGTAATAAGTGTAATCAAGGGAATAAGCGTTACCTGTCAGTTCCCTTTTTGCCTCTTGCTTGCAGGATCTCATGCAGTTTCTTCACCACTACTGTCGTGTTGATCTCCGTGCCTTTAGCGAACATCTTGGGCTTTTCCTGACAATTTAAACACAAAACAATACATCAGTGCCAATGAGCAGAGGCCACGAGGCCAAAATCTTCACGAAAAATTCACTATGGTCCTTTGATTTCATGTTTCTTGTAGTCACCATTTTCTAAATGCCCAGTCCAGACATCAACCTGGTAAGTTAGCCCTAGCTTACTGCATTGCCAGGGGGCTATGAGAACTATGTTAACTGATTAGACCCCAAGCAGAACAATGAGACAATGAATATGATATAGCATTTTTGCAGTGCACCACAATCACGTTTTGACAAATTAAACGTCAATTCAGTCAAATCTACAATCAAGTAATTAACTACGGGCTTTGTCCAACCAACCAATCATCTCATGGTGAGATGTCGTAGACAAGGGGTGTCCATACTTTTTTGGCTCAGGAGCTACTTTTCAAGTGACCAGGCTAAAGCAATCTACATCCATTGAAGAAATTAAATATACATTTACTTGTATAAAAACAAACATATTTTATATACAGATTGCATGATTGGTGACCAATTCATGTAACTCTATGAACATTGAAGAAATTAAATATAAATTTACTTTAAAAAACAAACATTTTATATACAGATTGCATGTTTGGTGACCAATTCATGTAACTCTATGACACAATATGATTCAATACCTACATTACAAAAGTTGAAGTTCTTTTACATCATAGACACTGGTGCCAGACAAGGGATTTTTCATGAAAGTAAAACGCTAATCCACAATATTTTTTGCAGACCATAATGGTTTAAAAAAAAAAAAAAAAAAACATTCTTCTTTACCTTGACCAGTGGGACGCCTCCTTTCACCTTCTCCCAGCCTCCCTCAGCCTCCTCTCCTTCGTCTTCGGCCTCCTCCTCCAGCCGCTCTTTCTTCTTAGGCTTCTTCTTCTTGCTGACCTTCTTTTCAGTGGGTTTATCACTCTCCTGGGTTCTAGGGAACAACGCAAAGCATGACGTGAGAAACGTTAACTTGGAGTTCACCTTTCAATCTAATTTCACTTGGGGAAAAAAAAAAAAGATCTGCATAATTGCAAAAACGGCATAAGAGTTTATATTTAATTCATTGAATAGTGTCGTGCTGTGTAATTAAAAGTACGGCCAAGAAAAGACTAACTTTTTCAGGAAGACTAGAGCCAGGTTAGCGCTCTTCCCCTCGCCCTCATCTGAGCTCTCACTTTGAGAACTGACAGTGTCAGAACCCCAACCTTCATCATCTTCATCATCATCATCATCGCTAGAAGACGACTCATCCTGTCGGAAAAAAAAAAAGAGAAAAGAGAATTTGCCCACACAGATACAACTTCAATGTTGGCCAAAGTGGACTTTTGTTCGACAACATTCTCTTACCCCAGATCCTTTGGCAGACTTGAGGAACTTGCTGGCATCTGGAAGAGCCTCGGGCTTCTTCTTCAAGAAGGCTTTGGCTGTAACTTCTTCCTCACCATCCGAATCACTTTCAGAGGATCCTGAGTAACAAAAAATGTGACTTTTATTACAATTGATTTCAATCTGTAATTTTATTGTAAATACATATTTTTACATATCTACTGCTCAGATGGAGAATCAACTAATGTGTTGCTAACTGCTTAGGTCAGTTCTTCTCAAATAGTGGGACAGGCCGCCCCCTGGGGGTGGGGTGGGCGCAGTGAGGTGCCAGGGGAGGTGTGAGCAGCTTCCAATGGAATATGATACGCTGGACATAAGTGTACTACTGCTGTAAAGCTTGAATGATAACAAGCCTCCAGTCACTAGGTGGCAGCAACTCATACAGTGGTTTGTACAGATAAAAAATACACACGTTATCAGGTTCTAAATAGTATTTCAATTCGCAGGGGTGTGGGGTGGAGGGATACGGGGTGTGTGAAAACCTTTCTGTCGCCAAGGGGGGGCGTAACAGGAAAAAGATTAAGAACTAACAAATACCAAATACTTTAAACTAATTATTAGTCTTTTTAAAATTGTGATTAAAATAACGCATAATACTAAACAACTGTAGTCTTTCACTATCATAATATAAAATCCAGTTTGGATAAAATGCAGCACACAACAATATTTGGAAAAAAAACAAAAAAGCCCTGGGGTCACCATAAATTTGTAACGTCAAAATGGAGTCACAAGCCAAAGAAGATTGGGAACCACTGAAGCCCTCCCTTATCAACTAGGTGGTAATTCAATGTAAAAAATGTTTTCTGCATTTACTGATTTTGACAAACTAGTGGTTCTACCTATTCCAGGTTCCCACAGATTACGTTTATTGCTAGGTAAAATTACCGGAATCTTCTGGTTCCTTTTCCTCCTCCTCATCTGCAGACTCCTGTGGGTTCTGAAAAACACATTTGACAGTGACATTTTTAGTTACCATGAAAATACTTTTCGCCTCCCTGACCATTACCATACACTAGTGAAACAATTTATGAGCCTACTTTAGAATGGTGAAGTAGAAGAAGTAACGGAGAAGCACAGAAAAAAAAAGAAAAAAAGCTTTGGGCATTTACCTCCTTGTATGCAGTGGATGAGCCTACTTTAGAGTGGGGAAGTAGAAGAAATGATGGAGAAGCACAGAAAAAAAAAAAAAAAAAAGCTTGGGCATTTACCTCCTTGTATGCAGTGATTTCCGATTCATAATCTCTGTTGTATTTGCGGATTTTCTGACGCAGTGTGCTCAGGGCTTTCGCGTTGTTTTTATTCATCTTCTTCTTACCCTCTTTGTCTTCCCAAAGCTGAAAAGAAAATAATGTTTTTAGCAAAATAAAACATATTAGACTAAATGAGCAGTTACCGTTGTTGTCTCATGAACCATGGTAAATAAAGTTTAACTAAGGTTCATTATTTTACGCAATTCAAATGCATTTGTTGTAGCGACAACTCTAGAAGGCTTATGTTGTGAAATTTGTTTTGTTTTTTTCCTCCGCTGAAGGTTAACCTGATTTAAATAGTCCTCCAGGTCAGCCAGAAGTCGGATGTAGAAAGAAGGAACTCCTTCTTTGTCCACTATGTTCTTGCTTTTGAGAAAAGCTCGACACAACTGCTCAAATTCCTCCAGACACTTAGCCATGTCACGGATCTTCATTGCATTCCGGATGGTTTTAATGATGTTGGTCAGTTCTTCAAACCTAACGGTCAGGAATGAAATCAAATTAAAATTCTTGATTCTCTACCGGCAGAAATGGAAAATAAAATAATAATAATAAAAAAACTGCACAAACCTTTTGTCTTTGGCGCTGCGCACCACTCTCTTGGTGTCCTCCTCATCATCACTGACGAGCAACGACCTGTGAAATGAAATACACAGGTCAGTCCCCGAATGAACCGACAGCCCGACGGACAGTGACAGACAATATTAAAGTCAGTGGCACTAACTGCTTGAAAGTTCCTGTTGATTTTGGGGCGATCTCGTCCGCAGAGGAGGACTCCTCTGACTCGCTGTCAGATCCCGTAGCAAAGAAACGAGACATCGTTGAAGGAACCTTTTAATCTGTGAAAGATAAAACATACAAGTTGATTCTCCATTTGCAATCATATAACAATGATATTATGATACCCATGACCAGAGTTCAGGAGTGACCACCAACCACATTAAGAATCTGGTTATATTTTTGCAGATTTCGTAGTAGGTTAGTTTGTAAAGAGTGTAAAGAGAATTAATTTACAAATTTTATAGTAACTGTAATGAGGTATTCCCAGGAACATTTAATCACCTTTGACGTTGCTTAAAATGTTTATATTTATTAGAAAAGCCTGGTCATCACATCATACCTGGTGATCTAAGATTGTTATAGTTAAAACAGACATACAGACAGAATAGATTGATATAGTTAAAACAGACATACAGACAGAATTGTCAAGTTTACATATGAAAGTACTGCTGAACACCAATAAAGGGCTCGACTTGGTGGTTGGTACTGACATTATTTTTGGACGATTTACGTTTTTTGGTAGAGACATACGAGTGTTTTAGCAACATGACAACACTGGGGTCTGAAGTTTGAGGCTCCGACGTCAGACGCGTAAAATTAATTCGCGTATTAGTGGCAAACGAAAGTATTTCTTCCGATAAAACACACACACTTCACAGCCAAAGCACGATTCGAGAGAGCCCGAAACTGCTAACAAATTTATTTGATACCCAACACACCTGACTATTAACACCCCCGCCCAAATTATCTACATCTAGTTTCCAGATTGAATTCAAATTTATTTCATTCGGAGTTAGCTGCTGTTGTGACAACTGGGTTTAATAATTCGAGGCAGCTGGCAAATGTCGAATGTGTTATTACCTACATGAGCGTCTTGACAAAAACTACACTATGCTATAAACCTCAACTTAATAAAAACCACGTCTATTTTTGTGAACGTTGTAAAACAACGTCTGTGACACGTTGTTGCTAAGCTAACACTACCAGAGCCCGAGTGGAGCAGGCCGCTTCGTACGAAAAGCCAGAGCTACAATTGTTAGTGTTCCTAAAACTTCGTAAATTATGGACGTACGCTCACCTTAGACCGAGCGAAAACTGTTTGGAGTTTATCTGTCACCTCGTAGGCGTTATAAAATCCAGTTTTGCTGCACGGCAGAACAAATAAAACAGCGTGCGACAGCCTTGCCGGGCACTTGCGTCAGGAAAGGAAGGAAGTTCTTTGAACCGTCAACGTACGGTGTTTAGATCTGCAAACTATCTGGATGGTACAGCGCAAACCGCGTAGACAAGCTATCATTCCACCTAGCGGACGTAAGCGCACAAAACACACTGTATATTGCTGTTAAAAGCGTATTATGGTGATTTTTTTTAACAGCACCGTCAGAAAAGAAAAAAAAAAGTAGAAAAGTTAATTTAACAACACCAAGAACGTTGTTTTAAATGGAAACAAAATATGCCAGTATTGACAATATTTATTATTTAGCGTTTAGAGAAAAGTGGTTTGATCAACAACTTTTAAAAAGTGAACTGCCAATGCTTAAAGAGGTTGTGAATTTGGGAGGAATTTCAATGAAGACAAAGACATTTAACTCTAAAATCTGCATCCAATTAATGATGATCACACAGAAAAACCCAGAAACTCGCAATATTTATACAAAACTGAAACTTAGAAAAGCAGGATTTTAGTAACAGTATATTTTTTCACAGGGAAGGGCAACAGGACACGCATCATTGATATTATCAAGGTGTCATCAGCTCTCAGAACCAGTGTGTGTTCAGCCTTGATTGGCATACATACATTCTCTGGGTGTGACTCCACTAGTGCCTTTCATGATAAATGCAAAAAGAAAGACATTTTCTGTAGCATGTGAGAAACCTTAAGAGTACCTCAAGACTTTTAAAAATCTGGACTTGGACCACTCAACATTTGCACTACTTAAGTAAAACCACGGAGATAGCCATGTTGCCGGAGTGTTGACATCAATCAGCTACTTAGTCTAGCACGATCACGTGTTGAACCATGCCACCGCAATCTTATTACGTACTGAAGAAACTAGTTCGAAATATTATTACGTACTGAAGAAACTAGTTCGACATATATACATATATATGCATAATATACATTTTTTTTGTCATGTTGGGTCATTCTGTTAAATTTTTAGGCCAAAAATCAATGTAATGGCATTTGCAATAAATAACATAACATTCACATTTGCTGAAGTTCATTAAGTAATTTTATTAGGTATTTAAAACTCAGTTATTAAAACCTCAATAGGACTTTACTGGAGCATTTAGCAGTCCTTTTGCTTACTGTATTTCTGCAGCTCTGGAAAAGAAAAAAAGATAAAACAGAACAAGTTATTAACCTGTCCACCCCGTGATGACCATCCAAATGTTTCAACAATTAAGACTTCACAACGGATATTACATTTCATTGTACATCAGGGAAGTTCGAAATAAAATAACATATCCTTCAGATCTTTCTGTATACTGGTAGGAGTCGCAATAGCATGAGAGCACAAACCACGCCTCAAGTCCAGGAAATTCCCAAAAGACCTGAGAGAGACCTGTTTTGAGACACTGAACTTTGGCTTTAATTATAAATTTTGACTTGAATTACTGAAATAAATAGTTGTGGAAATAACTTTTCCACAATATTCTCATTTATTGATATGCACCTGTATGTATGTTTTATATACTATATATATATATATATATATATTTATTTTGTTTTTGTTATTAAACACACAACTGTTAATAATGGATAACTGATGACACTGATGATGTTACTTGTTTGGTTTTTTTTTTTTCATCACTCAGACACAAAACATACCTCTTTTTGTTTTTTTTTGCATCACTCAGACACAAAACATACCTCTTCAATCTTGTTATTTCTTCTGATTTTAATTGAAGTTGTTCTTCGAGTTCGCCACAAACTGCAAAACATCGTCAGTCAGTACATTGTTAAATAACACTTGACCTGGTGTTAAACATTACCTCGGGATAAAAAAAAAAAATTAATCTGATATAATAATATGAATTCATAGCTTTTCTAAAACCCAACACACTTTAGCCATAACATTACAAGTTAATTATGTAAAACAAAAAAAAAAACAAAACATTGAAACGACTACTGCATTTTCTGGACCACAAGTCACACCAGCCGAAAAATGCATAATGAAGAAGAAAACCTATACAAGTCAATCCGGAGTATAAGTCGCAGCAGTGCCCTCTAGTGGCTGCCAGTGTGAAAAATAACAACCATGTGAAATTATACATTTTAATATACAAGTTGCACTTGAGTATAAGTCCCAAAACCAATGAAATTGTGCATATAGTCTGGAAAATATGGTACAGTAATCCCTCTCCTATAGCGGTAGTTGCGTTCCAAGACCCACCGCGAAATGGTAAAAATCGGGAAGTAGAGGCAAGTTAGTTATTATATGATTCAGACATAAAACATACCTCTTTTCAATCTCGTTATTTCTTCTGACTGTAATTGAAGTTGTTCGCCACATTCGGCACATCCTGCAAAAAAAGCGTCAGTCAGTACATTGTTAAATAACACTTAACCTGGTGATTAACTTTACCTCGGGACATCGCCATCACCTCAGATAAATCAAGATGTTTACTGTCCATGTACATGGTGAGATCGCAGAAATTCAAACAACGCAATGGAATTCTTATTTTGTTTGTTTCCCTGGCTGATGTTTCCAGCTAACCACGGATTCTATTCTGTTTGAGGACTGTGTAGTTTTAGAGTAAATTTTTCTCGCCAAGACTGATCTTTTTTATACACACCCAGTCATGACATTTTTTTTATTCCTCCTTACCAGATACAGGCAAACACGGTCAAAAGACTCTGGAGGCGCGAACAACAACAACAACAGTGCCCTCCTGTGTCCAACTTAGGGCTTTAAGCAAAATGTCTTTTCGTTTATTTACATACCCCTTTTAGGCTAGAATTTTTTTTTTTTAAGAAAATAATTAAAATATTGGAAATTAAAAAATCTGTACTTTTCGTAAAAAATCCCGATAGAGCGAAAATGTCACAAGATCGGATTTTTAAAAAAAATCTACAATCTACTGAGGGAGCGAAAGAAGAGCCGCGATAGAGGGAACACTGCACTCTGTCTAAATACTTGATATAAAACTAAATACTGCCTGTATTTGAAAACGTGTATCTTCTACTTACCATGGCTTTGGGGTTTAGTAAGCTGAGGTCTGTGGCTTTGTTTAAACTGCTTTAGAGCTCTGCCTTTTCCATCACCACATTGTCCTGAGGCTCCTGTAGTACTAGTTGGTACTACACTATCTGAAAGTATTAAACAAAAGATCATTAGTTCATTCTTCTTCTTTTGTGGAGGAATACCCTTCAATCTGATCATTTCTAATCCCGTCCATCCTAATCTCTCCTATTGAAAATCTTAGCATCTTAATTTCTGCAATCCCAGCCCAGCCTTTTTTTTTTTTTAGAACTAGTCTCTAAACCAGGGGTTGGCAAAATGGTTTGCCCATGCCTTGTCTAAACCACACATCCTACAATGAAATCCACAGCACACCTAACTAATGCCTTGCGGGCCTTGTAGATGTTCTGCACTACCTTCACATACTTTTCTGCCACTCCTGACTATTTCCATAGAGTACCATATTTCCCTCACCAAGGACCATAACAAATGTTTTCAATAAATCTTCATAGACACAGTGCAACTCTTTCTACCCACTGTAAAAATTGCACCTGTACAACTTTGCCTGGGAATAAAGCCAATCGCTGAACACTGATCTAAATCTATTGCCTAAGCCTCAGCCTTAACTTTATGCTTTTGTAGTTACTACAACTCTGGACTTGTAGTAACTACAAAATACTTGGTATAAAACTAAATACTGCCTGTATTGGGAAACTTGCATCTTCTACTTACCATGGCTTTGGGGTTTAGTAAGCTGAGGTCTGTGGCTTTGTTTAACCTGCTTTAGAGCTCTGCCTTTTCCTTCAACACATTGTCCTGAGGCTCCTGTAGTACTAGTTGGTACTACACTATCTGAAAGTATTAAACAAAAGATCATTAGTTCATTCTTCTTCTTTTATGGAGGAATACCCTTCAAAGGTGTACTTTTTGATCAATATTCTCCACGTCTTCATTAAAACTGATCTGCTCATTTCTACTCCCATCCATCCTAATCTCTGCTATTGAAAATCTTAGCATCTTAATTTCTGCAATCCCAGCCCAGCCTTTTTTTTTTTTTTTTTTTTTTTAGAACTAGTCTCTAAACCAGGGTTTGGCAAAATAGTTTCCCCACGTATGGTATTTGTTATTATATTATAATATTGTGCTTATTTCTTCATGCAACGCAGCACTGTCTATACAAGTCTACATTGGACAATTCTATACAAATGAATTGATTAACTCATTAACCTAGCTTGCAACTATGACTATAAAACACCCAGGAAGTTTAAACCTGATAGTTTTTTTTCTTCGTAAATTTAGTGGGTGCTGTATTCAAGTGTGCTCACTAGTCCAGAAATTAGGGTAACTGTAATTATTAAAATATATATGTATATGCTTTGTATTTTATACCAAGTTTCCTTTTTGCAGTCGGTAAAGTCTCACTTCTGGTCAAGGGTTTCCTTAGTTGTGTAGGCCTCACCACAGGGTTGTGTACTGTTTAAAGAGGAAACGTAAAATTTACACATCACATCACATGTAGAAACATATAAACATATATATAAACATAATAATATATAAACATACAATATATATATATAAACATATTCTTCTTTTCCTTTCGGCTTTGTCCCCAAACCATCTCAATCTGACTTTTCTCGTCTTGTTTATTTATATATACCCATGAACATATCCAAAACCCCTAATCACTACATGCTATACTCCAAAAAAAAGCATTGTGGTACAGTGTTAGCAGCTTAGAAAAAGCTTAGCTGTACTTGCAATCTCTGGCATTGAAGTATTAGTACCTGTGGGCACAACCAGTTTCTCAGTGCCCGTAGTTGGCGCATTTGTTCGTGCAGGTGGTGGTCTGATTCCTGTTGCAGGTCTCTGGAAGCCTGATGGTCTTGAGAGAAAAGTATTGAGCTTGGATCCTAATAGTAGAAAATATGAGAGTGGACTCAATGACATTTATTTACCGCAGTTCTTACGAGAGGGTTTTGACAGTACAACTGCATAAACAAAGCGACGTACCTTTTCTTGTTGCAGGTACGTTTTGACAGCTGGATATTCCTGTGGTCTTGAGAAGAAAACACAAAGCAGATCAACTATCAACACACGCTCATCCATCCACACATTTAGTTGGTCCTCAGTATAGGGTGTTTTCGATCTATGGGGTTTCATGGTTACATAACTCTGTCATTGTTCCGTCATCCCGACATACAGTGTTAAAATTTCACATGGAAACTGGTTGGCTAAGTTTACATCCACTACTTGTAGGTCATACATTGGATGTGCTACAAACTCTCTTTCGTTTATGTTGGGGTTTTGTTTTTTTTGTAACTTTTTGCCTTTCATTATGTCTCCCAGGTGTTAGTCAGACTCGTCTGAGGTTTTTAATCTCCTAGATTATGATGACCACTGTGTTAGCGTAGGTCAGGCGTGGGCAAACGTTTTGAATCGCGAGCCACAATTGGTCCTAAAATTTGACAGGGAGGGCCGGGTGAGGAGCAGATAGATGGAGCGTTTGTGTAAAACGCTTTTAGCCTTCTCTATGCCATCTATAGGGAAAATGTGGGCATTGCAGGGAAAAGACAGAAATTAAATCACAATACAAACCTATTATATAATTTGGACAAGTTTGGCGGGTCGGATTACAACTTTCAATAGGTACCTAGAATAGGTAGAGTCCGAACTCTACATGGGTAGCGTTCAGACTAACTCACCATTACAGTAGAGGTCAAATAGAGTCCGAACTCTACATAGGTAGAGTTCAGACTAACTCACCATTACAGTAGAATTTGTCCTAAAATTGACCTTACATATGTTAGGAAAAAAATAGTGTTAACTAATCATTTATGCACAGGAAAATGAAATGGCAATAATTTTACACGAAACAAGAACAAACAAGTCAATTGGATACTTTGTTTAAAATATTTTGAGAAAGTTTCCTACCACCTGGGCTGGTTCAGAAGCTGCAGGACCCTTCAAGGCTTCTGCCCTGGTTCTCAGTCTGGTCATTGGCTGGTTGTAGAATGGCTCACACGTTCTTGGCTGCGCGGAAGCTATCTTGGATTTCAGCTGGGGCAGAATGAATTTCGCAGCAGTCAGCGACTCTATGAATGTCTTTTGGTTGGAGTTGATATTCGATGACGGATTCAACGACACCTGAGCAGCTGGTTCTTTCCCGTAGAGGCTTTTCTGTGCCCCAGGGGCTTCAACATCAGTACAATGTTCCATCGTGACGGGAAACACCTTGAAGTGTGGCATTGGCGTGGAAGTGACCAGCGGCTCTGACTTCATATCTAAGGTGTCATCTAAGTTGAAGGTGGTATTACGCTTCTCTCCGTCCAGACTTGCCACGTCAGATGTCAAACTAGTCGGTTGGTTCCCTGCTACGGGAGTGACCTCTGGAGCTGGATTTGCTTCAAGAATGCTTACAGTTGTGTTAGTCGTCTTGGTTTGAGAATCTGTACTTGGCCGTGTCCCACTTTGCTTTAACACTTCAGAAGGGGCTTCTTTATTAACGCTTTCCACCTGATTGCTTGTCGAAGAATTAGTGTCTGAAAGAGAGGGCTTATCCGCCGTAGCCGAGCAATTGACACTTGAACTCACTTCGGACAAAGTTATTGTGTCACTCTGCGTACAGGGTGGTTTGCTATCGAACGTGCGCTCGGGGCAAAACGTTCCAGCAACCACTTCCCCTAAACCATTGCTGCCAGTGGTGTAACTTCCCCTAAACCATTGCTGCCAGTGGATTTAGGATTGGCTTGCCATTCAAACGTTGCGTTCTGCAGATCACTATGTGCCGTCACATGCCGAGTTAAAGATGTTTCGGCTTTCTTTAAGTCAGCACTCAAGTCAGCTCCCCCAATCTCTCCCAGTGCTTTGGGATTGGTCGCATTGGATTCAGAAAGATCCACGGTGTTATCCCGAAGGCAAGTTGCTTTATCGCTGCTAAAGGGGGTGCTAAGCTTGGACGATGGCGTGATCGTAAATGTGTTCCTCACAGAGCCACCCTTTTTGGGGCTTGATTGGGTCTCAACCACCATCGACTCACAGTCATTTTTGGCAGTTGGCTCTTTTGCGTTCGCGTCCCAAGAATTGGACATGTTCATGGGTTCGACGGAAGACTCTGGGTTAACGATGATTAAACTGTTGTTGCGGTGAATATCAGAGGTGTTGGTCTGCTGGGCCTGCACATCACTGGAGACGCTCATGTCATACGTAATATTAGCGGGCTGAACACCTAAATCGGAAAAGCACCTGCTTTCTTCCCCTACATCCATCGGAGAAACTTCCTGTGCAACCTTGACCATAGATATGCTCGTCTCCAGGAGAAAATCAGAATCACGCGTCACATCGAGAAGTGTAGTTTCTGGTAAATAACCTCCAACGGTTCTCTGTGAGGTTTCAGGCGTCACAGTTTCGCCAACAGAAATGGAGATTGTCTCATTTTGTTTGCACAGTTTAGAAAGACGGACTTCAGCATTGCTTTTTTGGGCACATTCCAGTGGATTCGAAACATGTGGGGGTGAGATGTTGTTTACGTTCAAAGCCACCTGGCCTGTTTCATTTTGTGCCAAATTCACTGGGCCATTTTCCTTACATTCAAAAGTGTCGTCCCGGAGGCAAGGCATTGCACTTACAGTTTTCTCCAACACAGTAACCGGTGTTTGGGCAGAGCTGTTTTCAACTGCTGTGTTTAACTGCAGATTTGCTTTAGCAGATGAATCCATCTGGGTTTTAAGAGGGGATGATTGACTTTCTTTGTCAGAGACTGAAAAGGCATCTCTTTCTGCTTCTAAACGGCCATCATTATGATGACGAACTGATTCCATCGAGGACTGAGGTTTCATAGGCGTAGCAGGCATGCTCTCTAGTAGAGCTGAATTATTTCTAGATTCATATGCATCATCGAGAAGCGTAATCTCTGGAAGGCATTCCTCATCCAGCCAGCAGACATTAGAGGTTTTAGTGCTAAATGGATACTGGCTAGACATTCCCATTGCTTGTTGACAATTAACTCCCATAGAATTAGTGGATAAACTCTGAAGAGAATTTCTCTCACATTTTAGAGGCTCCATTGGCTGACGCCTGTTTCCGGTATTCAGGTACTTTAAAATCGGTGTCAGAGCAGATCGAAAACCTGACATCCGTGACTTTTTACCGCTCCCTTGAGATGGGTTTGAGATGCAGTTCTCTGACTGAGGTTGGTTTTCTCCACCTAACTGTGTCGATGAATTACCCTCTGCATTTACTTTTACTGTAGGCTTTGACATTTCATCCAGAACAATGGCCTTAAGGGAAAGGTTTTCATCAGCCTCGGGATTTTCTTCAAAACATAGAAGGCTTACTGTAGTATCTTGTTCCATGGTCGCAGGTTTATTGATTCCTTCTTAAATAAGAACTCTGATGTGACACAGTATACAAGAGATATGCTTAAATGCACATATTTTCGCCCATGTCTCTGTATATTCTCCGGTAGCGACACCTACAAATGAAAAGACAAACTCATTAATAGGCTTCTGTTCTGAATGAATAGAATTGACTTAAATTCTGTAATTTTCGCGGCCTATTCTTATCATGCTCTGATTTTCTGGCTTAGGAGTTTAAAATCGTTGTTTTATAATGTAATGTTATTATGAGATGGCAACACAAAACTCAAGATATAGTGAAATTGTATTTTTTGTTTTTGCGTGCGTGTGTGCATAAAACAAATAAATTAACCTAAAAAAGGAAAGAGTTTAGATTCAAAGATTAATATAATGCACAGCTAGCATCATAACATTGAGGTGTACTATATACAGAGCAATTATAGACCTTTATTTATAGTCCAATCATACAACTTGTCCGTGGGGGGGTTATGTTTACACGTTTCTAGTCTCTAGCTGTTGTGTATTTAGCGGTAATAATACATATTATTGTCTCTTGTATAAGACTTCTTCGGTTGGACTAATCTAACTAATTTGTCCGACATAAGACGTGACTTTGGCTAAGAATTAAAGCTGATAGAAAACAACATAAACACCACCGGATATGAAAGAAAAAAATCGAGATTAATATTCAATCTTTTAGAAAGTTACGCAATTGCCAATGTTCTGGGACAAGCTACGGTAATGTCAACGTCACAACGTAAACGTCCGTTTGTACTTTTGAAAACATATTGACTTACCTACATCAACTGCTACTTGTTGTTAGATTTCCTTCTGAAACTGCTTCGAAAACGTGGCCTGAGACTGTCAGCTTAAACTCGAATGTCAAAATAACATAAAAATGGGAGTGTTACGTAGGTCCATTTGCACCGCTTTAGTTTAAATAAGAACTTACTTCTCGCCTATTGGATAACTCAAACCAACCGAAGAAGAAAATGCCTTCTTTCTTCCGGTGCGTCACATCCTTCGACCGTGAACACCGCCTCCTCTGGTTGTACTCCGGTAATGTTTCCTGAATAGTTTTTTCCAACGAGTACGACAGGTAATACACACTGATGACATATTTTTAAGATACTTCTTTGAATTTAAATGAAGTCAGATATGCTATTATTACAAAAATTCCAATTTATTTTCATTTTTATATTTTTGGAATGTTGAATTATGTTCCTTATTCAAAAACTATACAAAGAATAAATTATCTTATCGACAGTCAACGTTATCTAGGTCCATGCATAGACAAAATAAATTGAATTTACATCCTTTATTAAACGTTGTACACAAAACTTTATTGTACATTCTTATCACTCCTTCTGGGGTTTCCTTAGTTTGGTCTTCAGCTCTGACATGAGTGGATTTGAAAATCTGAGAAGACATTTGAAAAATAAAAATCAAATTGATGTGGGCTCTTAAACGCAACAATCTTTTACACATTTAAATAAGGACTGTCAAGAAAACAGTTTTTTGGTTAATATTTAATCAGAATTTTGAGTCATACTTTTTGAATATGTTTCCAAATTAATAATGAAATGTTAATTTATTGTTCATGGATCACGATTAATTCTTACTAATTATAATGATTTATCGTGATAAAATGATAAAATATGAATCACTTGGCAGTCCTTATTTAAAAACACAATTATAAACAACTGTCGACATGCATTAACTATGACATTATTTAGATGTCCACAAATTTTTACCCTGGTTGTGTCGGAGGCATCCATCGGGGTCTTTGTTGGGTTTGTTGTTCCTCGTCTGGTTTGGGAATGTGACTCTTCTCCTCTGTGTTTGTTTCAGCTTCCTGTTGACCTAATGATACTTGAGTATTGTGTTCAACCAGTCCATGTGACAAAGGCGGCAACAACAACAACAACAACAACAACAATAGCAATAACTCTACTAATAGTAAAAAAAAATAATACTCATTTGACCTCTGTGTTCTTCTTTTCTTTCACCACATTTGTCTTTTTTAAAACAGGAAGACCAGCACCAAGGCCTGAAAAAACAATACATTTAAACAATATATGAATTGAGAAGAGAATTAGTTACTAACATAACAACACTGTTACATTTCCAAAACACAAATGAAAGAAATGCATTTTTAGTTTTCAACTTAATCGGGGTCATACGCTACATATGCAAATGCTACAGCCGCAATGTAGACATGGAGACAAGGCTCATTGATTTTCTCATAACATCCGCTATGGGTGGGTGAACAGTTCACAGACATATATTTCCTGTCGAGTCAGACAACCATGAAACCAAAACTATCCCTTTGAGTGACATACCTGGCAGTTTTAGACCAACACCCAGTCCTCCTAAAGGCACGCCCACAGGGATCTTGACAGGTGAGCTTGAGACAGGTGTAGGGTCCAATGAGGGCATTTGCAAGAGAGAGCGGGGGTCTTTGGGTTTTCTTACGGAAGGGTTTTTAACCAATATTCTTGACCTTTGCGCAGTGAAGTCCAGTGCGAATTCATTAACCTGTCACAGGAAAGGAATTTAAAAAATATATATTGTTTGAAAATGACTGACTGCATAAGAAGAAAACCTCAATTACCTCAATCTGAAGGTCGGAATGTGGAGCGGGCTCTTCCAGATAATCAAACCTGTTCGGCTCAGGCGATGAGTCAACATTGTCTTGCAACCGTGTGGTGACATTTGGTCTTTCTAGCGAGGACGCCACTGTCTCATAGTCAGTGCTTTTGTTGTCCTCTGATGCTGTGAGTGATTCTCCTTCCCTGCGTGAGGTGACGGGGGCACCTTGTGGTCGCGTAAATTCATTTTGAGCATCATCTCCATTGACTGCTGCGCCAGATGAGCCAACATCATATTCACACTCAGCTAGTTCCACTTCCTCGTGCCGAGATTCCTCTTGCTCCAGCTTTGGACACTCGCCGCCGAAATCGGGGTCAGATGCTGACGCACCAGCATCTGACGCCTCCTCTGTCGTAACACATTGGTTCGTACTGGCTGCCTCCTGAAGTGCAAAGTTAGTTAGCTCTACGGACAATTCGGGAGCCAACATGTCACCGGAGTCTTGGAACGATCCCGAGCTAGATAAGTCCGTGAGCCCGATGCCTCCACGGTGTATGTCCCCTTCACTCCAACATTGGTCCAACAATGAAGTGGAAGATGACATTCCGCTCTCATTTTGTGTTTTGGAGTTCTCTATTTCAGCGGACGCTTTAGAAAGTACATTTCCGTCCACGGCTGCGCTTTCTTGATTTCGATCCTCGGTCAGAAACACATCTGTAGGTCCTTCGCAGAATCGCATCTCAACCGTCAGTTCCTCTGATGTCTTACTCGTTTGTTCTGTTTCAACCTCCTGAGGTTTAATAATTATTTGCTGTGTAGAGGATTTAACAGATAATACTGGTTCTTCGGGGTCCAGTTCATTGACAGACTGTTCTAACAGTCCAGACATATTTGCAGTAGAACTTTCTGTTTCAAGTACGACTCCAGGTTCTCCCAAAACGGACTCCATGAATTCCTCTTTGCCCGCCTCTGTCTGCACCGATGATATTACATCGCCATCCTCTTTCAGTGTCCCCGCCACGTTGTCCACTTCTTGTTCCCCAAAACTGAGGTTTTTTGACAGTGCTTCGTCTAAGCACAAGTCAGGTATATCTTCATCAATCACACTTCGACTTCCCTCCGCTTCTTCCTCGCTTTTCGTAATTTCTTCCAGCGTTATCAAACTCAGATCTTCTGGTTTCCGTGTCGTAGTTTCTAAATCATCGGCTGAGCCCAAGCTGGTTAGTCTATTCTCTGGTGTTTTATCGGATAGTTGATTTATTGCCTCTAGCAACTCATTTGGCGCAATCAAATTCGGGCTTTCAAATGAACACATCTCGAAATTTCGAGCCGTTTCACCATCTGGTGGCTTCTCTATGTCACTAGATGATTTATCCAGATCTGTCACTTCTACAAAATGATCCCCAGTTAATTTCAGATCACGGTCCTCCAACTGTTTCATTACTTCCGATTCTGTGGTGTCTCCCGAACGGATTGTGATGTTGCTTTCTGGATCTAGCGCCTCTCGAGAGAAACCTGTTCCTGGTGACCTATTTTCTTCAGCTTCAGGGATGATGAACGTTTCGTCAGTGAACCTGACCAGTGAATCAACCACTGGACCAGCAGTATTTCTAACCTCACTTCCCCTTTCTTCGGTTTCAAAGCTGAGCAACGTGCCTTCGTTCTCATGCTGCTGTTGTTGTGGTTCTGTTGTGGTTACGTCGCACTCACGTTCTTCCACTGCTGGTTCAGTGGCCACCCCTTCCTCGGCTGAGTTTGCTGATCCTTCTACTAGTTTAAAAAACTGTTTTTCAAACTCCGTAGAATAAAGAAAATCTTCGTGTTGCACTATATCGGTTAGCTCTTTTGTGACACACTCCTGGTTCTCCTGCTCTCCCGCTACTGAAAAGACTCCCTCTGACGTACTGTTTTCAACGCTCTCTACCTCTTGTGGCAATTGACTGACATGGGTTTCCCGGTGTTCTCTTGCTTCCAGGAACCATTGTGTTGTATTTTCTTCGGGTGCAGGCTCATTGTTGTATTCAGGAATTCCCTTTTGTATTTCCTCACGGGTTGGTGAATTTAGCGCCGGGGCTTCATGTATCCCAGCGGGGAGATTTTTGAACTCAACACTTGTTTCCTGTTCGGTCTCACATACAAACGACTCTGTTTGTACTTCTGTTTCCTGTTCGGCCTCACCTTTGGGCATTACTGTAGCACTGCACGGTATCTCAACACATACAAACGACTCTGTTTGTACTTCATCCTTTTGTAAGCTTCTCTCTTCTCCTGCTGTAGCTTCGTTAGCAGTTTTCTCAATCATTCCGTCGCCGTCGCACGATGCCTCTTTTGCGTCCTCAGCCTCATCTTCTGTTTCTTTAGGTTGGATTAAAATATCCTCCCTTTTCTCCCTATCTGATTGAAATTCTTTTTCACCCATATCTGTTGTTTGGTTGTTAGGAGCCGCCTCAAAAATACAATTGTTTCTCTCATCTTTTTCCATTCCACTGATATCGGTAAACGTATACTTGGCTCCATCAAATTCTTGCTCAACACTCTCTCTACCTTCAACTTCATCTCGGGCCTCTGACACAGTTTCACTGCCTTCTGTTTCTAAATCCGTGTCATGACTCTGCAGCTTTGGCTCCTCTACACGCTTGTCACTCTCCTCTGGGGTCAGGTATGGTGTCGCGTCAGCATCGTCGCTCTCCAAATCCCTCTCATCTCTTTGAAGGACTTCTCCCTTTCCTTCATTTGCTTCCGTAGCTTGACTCACAATGTCCCGGTCATCCCGGCTCACCGGTTGTCGTATCTCCTTCTCCACGTTTGACACAGTTTCTATGTTTCCGACACCTGTATCTGTCACCTTGATCTGCATCTGTGCCTCATCCTGGTCCAGCGCACGTCTCGCCCCTGAACTCAGTTCTGGCATCCGTGTCATGTCAGCATCTTCCTTCTCGAGCCGTTTTTCATCAATGCGTGGGATTTCCTCCTTTACTCTGATCCTTTTTGGAGTTTCACTAACATTTTGCTCTCCGTCCGGCATCATTGCTCTCATTCTTTCCTCATCTGTACCCGATCTCTTAATTTCTATCTTACTGTCGCTTCTCATTTCACATATTTCATTCTCCGAGGCTTGCGGCTGCCTGTTAGCGCTTGGTTCCTCGTCACTTCTTTCTCCGGCAACTTTAGAAATGGTCAGAACTGCGTCATTGTCCGTTGTATGGCCTTCAGTGTTTTCACTGAACTGGCCTCGGAGTTCCCCATCTACTTCTTCAGGCGCCGCATCGTCATCTGCGTTAGAGAGTTGCTGAGCAACAGCTGGTTGCGTTGAATGAGTCGTAGAGGACGAGTCACGCGGATGCCCCTCACGGACGGCCTGTCCGTCTGCGTCTGCATGACCGCTGTCGACATTCTGGCCAATACCTGCGTGTGCTTGCAAGGGATTCTGCTCTTGGCGTTCAGTGTCGATAGGCTCAGGCCTCAGGAACCTGTTCACAGCTCCAGTGATGTAGTTCTGTAGATGTTAAAGGAAACAAATACATTTGATCTTGTTTGGACACGGAAAACATGACATGGCATTTATTGCTATCGCTAAGTTCAAAAGTTGCTTTTTGTTTTTAGACTGAACACACGGTACTGCACTGTACTGTTCACTAAGGATGAGAGTACGAGTATTGATTACGCTCATAAGTATCAACATTGATTAATAAGTGAAATAAACACATTCTGCATCTTTTAGAACACGTGTCAAACTCAGGCCCGGGGGCCAAATCTGGCCCGCAGAGTAATTATATTTGGCCCGCGAGATCATATCAAAGGTGTACTAGAGCTGGCCCACCAGTATATAACTACTATGTACTGGCAGGATTTGTAGTATTAGCCGTGTATGCGCCATGTTATTGCACGTACATTTTGTTTGTTTGTTGTCGGCCCGTGAAAAAAAAAAGATTGACATTAAAAAGGAAGTCGACAGGCTACAGATAAAAGAGACACACTGATGTGTGTTTTATTTCAAATTGAATTTCTCACGTGTTTATGATATTTAGCTTTGGTTGTTCCAGATTCAATGTTTACGTTTCCACATGTTAAACATTTACATTCTGATCTGCAGATCTGGAGAGAAGGGAAAACATGAACAATTGCCGTCATTTTTTTTCAAATAAATATTAAGTTTGGCCCTGGTCCTCATCACAGTTTTTTTTAATTGTGGCCCAGTGTGAATTAGAGCTTGACACCCCTGATTTAGAGTAACTTACTGCATACTGGCTTTTGTGCTGCAACCCCCTCATGTCATGTGACCACTGGACAGAAGAGGGCAGTGATCTTGTGATCAAGTCAAACAGATAGTAATTTGTTATGGCTAATATGTTATGAAAATGACATGTTGAAGTTTTAAATGGCCAGTATTTGTGTATGTATTTTATTGGGTAAAAAATATCACACGTTTTGATAAAAAAAAAAAAAAAAGCCAAAAAAGTAATCAATGCAAACTATATTGATATATTCACACAGACACACATATGTATATAGATAGACAAACAGATAGACAGATATAAAGACAAACAAATAGACAGATAGATAGATAAGATAGATAGATTTCTCCAAGTAATACTTGAGTATAGCTATCAATTTATTGAATCATTTTTGAATAATCCGCACATATAAAGCTGACATAGATTAAAACAAATGTTTTGTAAATGACAACTGCTGCGCTCCAATGTCCAAAAATAGTCAATAGTCAATAGTGTGAAATTTGGATCAACATATATAATTTATATAATATAAATAATCTATTTTTTATTTATTAATTCATTTGTATATATAAAAAAATTGAAATGAAGAGGTTGTAAACATATTATACACATTAACAACAATGACATTATATAAATAATCTATTTTTATTTATTAATTAATTATTTATCAATTTCATATAAAAAATTGAAAGGAAGAGGTTGTAAACATATTATACACATATGCACACATAGACACAATGTCAGTGTTTTAACGTATGCTCTCACCCAGACTGCCCAGAAAGTCCTCTCCACCCTGTACACAGGGCTGCCAGGGTCCATTTTCGAACTTCCTTCTCACCGTGTTAAGAGAAAAAAAAAATTGCAGCTGAAATGTTCACAAAATCTACATGCACGTATATGACTGCATCTAAACTAAAACAAGTCGCTGGCTACCACCTCAGCTGTGAGTCAGTTCCTGAATCAGTAATGTCCGTTAATTAAGAAGAGGAAGAGGATGTTGTGTGCGTCTAAGTCACTGGCCCAAACCATATGGGCTGTTCTGTTTACAAACGTGAGCGCAGATAAGCAGTAAAATGCAGTAATTGCTTTTAAAACCTTTTTTAGTGAAGTTCATACACATAGCAAGATGTTTTTTTTTGTTTTTAGCCATGACTGTGAACTAAAAATGTCCATAAAAGGAAGAAAATTGTTTCCTAAAAACATGCCATTTCAACATGGCTGCTCACCAAAAAATTACACAAGAGGCACTAAAGTTGGCAAAAACAAAAACGTTTTCTTTCTCATATTCTGTGTTGTTTTGGTGCATAGTGAAAGAACAAAACAAAACACATTCTTGGTCAATGTCAGCCCTGAGGATCATATATATATGTGTATTTATATGTATATATATATATATGATATATATATGTGAGGATCATATACACGTATATATATGTATATATATATGTGTATTTATATGTATATATATATGTGTATTTATATGTATATATATATACATATAAATACACATATATATATATCATATATATATATATACATATAAATACGTATATATATATATACGTATTTATATGTATATATATATGTGTATTTATATGTATATATATATGTGTATTTATATGTATATATATATATATGATATATATATATGTGTATTTATATGTATATATATATACATATATATACGTGTATATATGGCAAGACTTTTCAAAATGCATACTTACCCCCACCTACAGACCACAGAACTCAACAATACGCCACTGTTATTTCAAAGAATAATCAAATACAGGATGAAAAGACTAGATTATGTCCTGCGCTTATCGTCTGTCTGCTGCTGTACTAAAATTACCAAGAGTATGTTAAATTAAAACGCTGGATTTCTTTTTTAAGCGTTCAAACTGACAGAAGGATGTTCTTAGCAACAAACACCACTTAACACATCCTCTGCTCAGCAGAGTGACAGGATGTTGATATGCTCTGTGGTCACGGTGTGAAGAAGACAAAAAAAATGCAACAAGGTCTTATTTACGTAGCCATATGTCTGTCTGCCCAGCAACTGTTGTGCCTTAAATACACCAAAAAACTAAGGCTATAAAATAACTTTTAGGCAACGGTCGATGCTTTAAAAACTTTTAAAAAAGTAGGATTTTATTGTAAAAAAAAAAAGAAAAAAAAAAGATTTTTTGTTATGCACACACTCATGTAAAATGCAAGTTAGTAGTAGGTGGTAATGTAAAGTCCAAAAATAGTTCAAATAATACAAAACTTAATTTGCTGTTTAGATTAGATACATTTCATTATAGATAAAAAAACAAACAAACAAACAAACAACACTTCTAACATATATTACCTGTGAAGACATGAAATATATTTAATACATTAATATGTGAGTTACGTTAGGTTTACTAGAGAGACTCCCCTGGTGCCATGGCTACATTGCAGAAGATGAAGTTTCCTCATTCGGCTCTGAAAGTGAGAAAACAAATTTAATTTTGAAGAACTGATCATGAAAAAAGCTCTTGTTACTTCTTCTATTTTGGTTCCCTGATGAAAATATTTCTTCATATGTGCGTCTGTGTGATGCCCTAACCTAAAATGTAAGTTCTACTTTCATAAGAGCGGAAACTGAAGTACTGCCACGTAGTTAAAACACAAGGTCTACCTGAACAGTTGATGTTGTCATACAACGGCTAAACCAGGTAGTCCAACGGTACCACTGGTATCCTGGTTCTGGTAAACGGTGGTCGGATGAGTAAATGAGGTCGGATTAGCTGCAGACGTCACTTTTTAGGTCAGTATGTTAGGGCTGTTCCCGGAACAACAAAACTGTTGCAACCCGTTTGACAAACAAAGATCACTCTGTATCACTTATTACCATTTATGTTGCTCATAAAAAAAAAAAAAAGAGAACAGCACTGATTCCACACTAGGGGAAATTGTAGCGTTAACAGCAGATCTGCTGCATCAGTCTGCCAAACAACAAGGGGAACTTTTAAATGTAAGGCAGATGTGTAAGCGGGATTTCAACACGGGATCTCCTATCAACTAGACCTCTCAGTTACTTGACCAACAAAGCCGTAGCACCTCAAAGATCATATACTACTACTGTATATTATCTCAAAATCTTCAGATTATAATGGACTTTATTTCCTGAGACTAATAATAAATAATACTACTAATAATTAGGTTAACAAACCATCTTGTGTGTGTACTCTGTGTGCAGTTTTCTTACCAGTCCAGGTCCTGTACACGGGGACCTTGAGGGCAGGATGACGGATTTCGACGCAGACCCTCAAACGCTGGAGGTCATTCTGTCTGGAATCCTTGCTCAAGTTGACCCTGTTGATATGCAGCGCACTGGGGTCTTCCTCACTTTCTCTGTCACTGTCCTCGTCACTGACGTCTGACTTGGTCTCCTCATCTCTGTCAATGATGTTATTCTCTCCGTCCACCTTTTCGTCAATGTACTGAATTCCCTCTGTGTTGGGGTCTGTAACAGCAGTCTTTGTTTCTGGAAAAAAACAAAAAAAAAACAAAACAAGGGCAACTCGTAATTGTGGTGGAGCTTTTCGGTCAATCGTGTACACTCACATCGTCACTTTGTACTTAACCTAATAAACCACCAAGCTCATCTTTACATGGACTCCCTTATGAGGCCTACCATATTTTCCGGACAATAAGTCGTACCTTTTTTCATCCTTTGGATGCGACATATATATTCAAATAAATAATTCCACGTTATTATTTTCACACTGACAGCCGCTAGAGGGCACTCTATAGGCTTGTGTACCAGTATCTGCTACTCCTGTACGATTAAAAATGTACACGTTTGTTATTTTCACACTGACAGCCACACGGGGGCACTCTATAGGCTTGTGTACCAGTATCTGCTACTCCTGTAGGACTAAAAATGTACAGCCACTAGAGGGCACTGGTGCAACTCATACTCCGGAGCGACTCATAATCCAAAACTAACTAGAGAACTCATAATCGACTCATAATCCAAAACTAACTAGAGATTGACGTTTGTATCAAGAAAGTCCACATATAAGTGAGGATTGAGTGACCTTGTCTCACTCACTCACTCACGCGCACACACTTACTGATTGCATGTCTTTTCTTCTTCTGTCTCTCTGGCTGCTTGTGATTGGACAGGCTTGTGGACCTCTCCAGAGCGCAGACACTTTTCAGTTCCCTCTGCCCATCATCTCCTAACTCCTCTGTTTCGCTGGACACCATCGGCACAAGAGTGGGTCCTCCGGCTGCCCACGCTAATTTGACCTTAGGGTGACCTCCCCTCAACAGGAGGGTAAAAACACCAACTCCTTCACTGCTCCAACAGACAGAGACTGATGGAGGAATGGAAGGCGCCACTGAAAGGGTGCAAACAGAATAGGCAACATTTCATTCACTGCATTGACCAATCATAGCAAAGACCCCTCTATGTTAAAGGGAATTGGTGTCTATTATTGAATAAATGTCATACCAATGTCAGCATCTCTCCAGTGTTTCTCTATAGGTTCAGGTAGAGAACAGTGCTCCACTCTGCAGACAATGCCTCTGATCCTGTCCTTATCCTTACGTGCCGTCCCCATCTTCAGCAAGGCTGTGGACCTGAAGATCCTTGGATTAGTCTGCAGGGGGCCCCATATTTCTCCGCCTTTGATGATCTCCTCCTCTCTGTCATCCTCTTCTCCCTCTCTGAGCTTCAACCACGTCACGGATATGTTTGGAGGGTAGAAATCAGTGATTTCACACCCCAGTGACACAGCATGGTCAGGTGAAGAGTAGGAGATAAGTTCAGATACACACGGCCTCTTGAGAAAACCTGGGTTAAAGGGAAATGCATTCATCAAACGTTTGCATTATGAAATCATATCAACAAGCGCTTAGTAAAGCGCCGGAAATAAACGTCATTTACGTGATTTCAAACATTTCCTTCAGCTAGTTAGATACTATCTTCTTGGGTCAGGAGTGGAACCTCCGTCCCCGTCATACTTTCATCATCTTTATTCCTCCTTCATCTTGCATCTTGTTGTATTTTCATTCTTCCTTCTCACCTTACGTGATCAATCTGTTTTAATGTAAATCAGCTACTTTAGGTGTTGCCCTACACTAAAATTTTTTTTTTTTTTTTTGGAAGGCACACATTACACTTTAACAAGCAATGACTGGAATTTACACACACACAAAAAAAACATTCTATGGATTTCAAGGTCATGATAAATGTATATAGACATACTGATATGTTTATTTATCATGAGTAAATAAACCCTCCTAAATTTTATACACTGGACCCTTAAGGGCATCTTGGCACATACAATACATGAATATGTGTTTTTTTATAAATTGTTGTACTGTATGTTATTTAGCAAGTAGCAAGTAGTACGATATATATAGTATCTAAGTACAATATATAGTAAACATGTTGGCAAACGGAGTAGAGTGGGGTTAACTGTAATGGTCATTTTGTTACATCTGCAACAACTACGACAAATGTAATGCTCAATGCTATAATATCTCTGAAAGGTAACAGATTTACATGGTGAAATAAATTCAAACATGATATAAAACTACAGTAATGTAATGTTAAGTTTGTGGGGTTTTTTTTTTCCCCCTTTACAGTCTTACTCACCTCGTGTTTCCCGTGTGATTGGCTGCTTCAAGGCGATGTGGTGGACGCTGACCCACACCTTTGTGGCCCCCTTTTCCAATTCACTTCGTGGCAATTTACACTGACTATAGGCTGAAAAGAAGCCTTCAGAATTGGGTCTTGGGGAGGACGAGGCTTGGGAGGCCACGGGGCTCAACTCACCACCTTGACAAAACCAGCGGAAGGTGATTATGTCTGGATGGAAATGCGTTGCCCGTACTGTCAGGCTAATGACATCTGCAAGGTAAAATGGAATGGTTGAAGACGTTTATACCCAGTGATGTTCTACGGTTTCAACAGATGAAAAAGAAATCTACCAGAGTCATTTGCTGCCTCTGCCAGCTGAATTTCCGATACTTCTGGAGCAGCTAAAAAAAACCCCAACACAATTACATTACAAACATAGTATTTTCGAAAAACAGTGAAAATGATTTAGTTACTAGTTAATTTGCCCGCGAAGACATTTGTTTCTTACACAGGATCGTAAACTTCTCGGACACTCTCTCCACCACAATCTTGTCCTTGCCTATGTAAGACACCTGACACTTGAACACCGCCGCCTTGTGAACTGAAATCTGGGGGATGAAGGTGACTGCGGAAATAAGCTGCTGAATGCCACTTCCAGAAGAGTGTAGAGGCCCTTGGGTGTGCAGCTTGTAGTACGCCAACTCGCCTCTCGAGGGCAGCAGAGGACCTTTCTCTGACGCTAAGACAAGAGGGACAAGGGAGGGGTAAAATGATAGTTACTATTATTATTGCAACATGAAAAAGTAAATTCCTTCGGGTTTATAAAATGGAAGCTGGCAGAAGTTTCCAAGTTGTTGGTTATGCAGTTCCCCACATTATATGAACCTTGCTCAGTTTTTCTGTTTGCCCCCAAATATTCCATTCAAATAATCATTCTATCTCAGTGAAATATAAAAAAGTTAAAAGGGTGAATATGTTTAAATATATATATTAGTCCCTTAGAATAAAAAAACATTTGGAGGTGGAAGCTGTTGTTTAATAAAGGGATTCACAAACTTTTGCCCCCAAATAGCTTTAGCTTCTGGCTAAACCCACAGACAATGCTACAAAATGTACAGGAACTTTTAGAACGATTTTTCTTACCTTATTCACTATGAAATTATTATTACATTTGTTTACAATAATTACAGGAACTTTTAGAACGATTTTCCTTACCTTATTCACTATAAAATTATTATTACATTTGTTTACAATAAGAAAATGATTAACAAGCATGTTTTCAGTGTGTGTTGGTCTGCTCCTTTGGTCTATTTCTGGTCAAAAACATGTCCGTTTTGCGCTAGCTTGCTACACGCTAGCCTTAGGAGCTTCGCAGCAACACCAGGAGAATGACAGGTCTCAGTCATCTGCATGTCACATGGGGTGCATTCAGGTACCATCGGAAACTTGAGAATCACCAACAACTGTTTATTACCCTGTGGTCAAGTCGTGTCAATTTGTATCAATGTGTATCAATAACTGACAGTTCTTGTAAAGAATATTTAATTATCTGCTGTACATATTTATATTTAAACAATTTTGTTTATCCACAGAGGATTAAGTCTTCACAAATGTATAAACTGAGCTTCACTAGAGAAGTGCAATTTACATGAATCCTTGCTGGTTATTCTGAATAAAAAGTCCTCCTACCTGTAAGTGAAGTGTCAGAAATGGGCGTGTTGTTGAGAAACCATTCCGTCTGGACTCGATCCACCCTCCTGCCTTCGATGCTCACTGTCACCCTGCCCTTTTGACCCACAACCACGCGTGGGGGCAGAATGATGCCTGACACACTGAGAGACTTCTGCTTTTCTACAAAGGAATACATTCATTTTTTTTTATAATTAGTCGTAGTTCACCAAGCTGTGATTAAGAAGAAGACCACTTCTAAGAAATGCCAAAAATGAGCAGGAAGCTACAAATACTGACGTAATAGCCATTGTTACTTGGATTGATGTCATCACTGGTAGACAGAGGTCTCAAAAGCAGTGTCTGTATACACAGTATTCGACTCAGAGTTTATATAGCCAATAAAGAATACCGTAATTTCTGGACTATTGAGCACTTTTTGTCAAAACTCAGCTCCCGGTGTCTTACTGTTATAACTCTCCACATAGGGTTGTGAGGGTGTGACACTCACCATCTCTTCTCCTCCATGAAAAACCAAAGCAGAGCAGAAAGACCAGGACTATGGAAATACACATCATAGCCACAGACGCTTTGGCTGATTTAGTCAACACTGGAGTCACATCTGAAGGAAACAATGATAAAAAGCAAAAATGAGTTAATCCTATGTCATACAGGCATTTCCATTTTGTTTTCTTGTTTTTTTCAGGTCTCAGTCATCTGCATGTCACATGGGGTGCATTCAGGTACCATCGGAAACTTGAGAATCACCAACAACTGTTTATTACCCTGTGGTCAAGTCGTGTCAATTTGTATCAATGTGTATCAATAACTGACAGTTCTTGTAAAGAATATTTAATTATCTGCTGTACATATTTATATTTAAACAATTTTGTTTATCCACAGAGGATTAAGTCTTCACAAATGTATAAACTGAGCTTCACTAGAGAAGTGCAATTTACATGAATCCTTGCTGGTTATTCTGAATAAAAAGTCCTCCTACCTGTAAGTGAAGTGTCAGAAATGGGCGTGTTGTTGAGAAACCATTCAGTCTGGACTCGATCCACCCTCCTGCCTTCGATGCTCACTGTCACCCTGCCCTTTTGACCCACAACCACGCGTGGGGGCAGAATGATGCCTGACACACTGAGAGACTTCTGCTTTTCTACAAAGGAATACATTCATTTTTTTTTATAATTAGTCGTAGTTCACCAAGCTGTGATTAAGAAGAAGACCACTTCTAAGAAATGCCAAAAATGAGCAGGAAGCTACAAATACTGACGTAATAGCCATTGTTACTTGGATTGATGTCATCACTGGTAGACAGAGGTCTCAAAAGCAGTGTCTGTATACACAGTATTCGACTCAGAGTTTATATAGCCAATAAAGAATACCGTAATTTCTGGACTATTGAGCGCTTTTTGTCAAAACTCAGCTCCCGGTGTCTTACTGTTATAACTCTCCACATAGGGTTGGGAGGATGTGACACTCACCATCTCTTCTCCTCCATGAAAAACCAAAGCAGAGCAGAAAGACCAGGACTATGGAAATACACATCATAGCCACAGACGCTTTGGCTGATTTAGTCAACACTGGAGTCACATCTGAAGGAAACAATGATAAAAAGCAAAAATGAGTTAATCCTATGTCATACAGGCATTTCCATTTTTTTTTCTTTTTTTTTTTTTGTTTTTTTTTGACATCATCTTAAGTTAAACGCAAAAAAAAAAACCATACCTTTGGGATCCAGTTTCTCCAGGTTTTCTGAACTGTTAGCTGAGTGCACCACACCAGGCTGGCTGACCGCACACTCCACCATTCCACCTAGGCTCCTCTGCTCCGGGGTCATGGTTAAATAGTGTCTGGTGCTGTAGGTGCCGTCGGGATTTTGCTCACTGACCGGCGTCTCAGGCAGAGGCGTGCCGTTTTGAATCCAGGACACAGACACCTCCTCTGGGTAGAAACTCTCCAGGTCGCAGTACAGGGTGAGAGGACCGTTGTTTGAGTGTGATGGGACAGCCGAAAGTTTCACTACCGGCGGGTCTGACGGAGTGTTCAGAAAAGAAAAAAAAAAAAAAAACGTGCATATGATCATGAGCAGAGAGGACACTTTAATTAGGCCAAAAAGCAGAAATCAGCTAGGTCCCAATCTGACAGAATGCCATCAAACAGTCTGGAACATGAAGTTTGAATTCATGTGCGGTTGTCTGAACTCTTAGGAATGGTGTTCGTAATTGCTGGGTTAAATAATTAAGGTGTAGTTGTTATGAATGGGCCTCCACTGAGACAATGTGTTTCTAGACTGTCGCGCGGCTGGTCTTTGCCTGCCTTGTTCAGTCGTTTATATCTGAACTGATTCATCATTCAAGGTTAAATACTGTAGCCACTAAGGCAGGCATGGGGAAACTAAGGCCTGCGGGCCTGATGCGGTCCGTTCAGCTTTTGAATCCGGCCCGCAAAACTTTTCTAAATGATATAATTTGTTTATATAATCATTATACTTCTACCGTTTCCCTGTAATATCTACGTTTCCCCAATAGATGGAGTAGAAAGTGATAAAAGCATTTTAGCATTTTAGCCTTTATGCATGACTTTTACATGTCATTTATCTTAGTTCACACCAACACGCCTGCACTAACGTCTGAGGAAGCTATCGGGAAAAATGATTGACACAATGTGAACATGATGCATATTGCAGGGGAAGTCATAACGTTTTAAGAATGTTCTGGTATATTTTTTTAGAAGTGTCTCTGAAAACATGTCTCTTGGGCCTTGCTGAGCTGTTTGTGGAGTTTTATTATTTTATTATCACATCGGTGTCACCCCTCAAGCTGAGTTTTATTTTTTTACTTTCAAAATCTGGTCAAAAATGAAATACTATTTTATTATCACATCGGTGTCACACCTCAAGCTGAGTTTTATTTGTTCAGGGCTTTCAAAATCTGGTCAAAAATGAAATATTTTTTCAATTTAGAGCATCAGATTTTGAACCAAACGTAAGTGGAAACCCGAATATTAACCTGAAAATAAAAACGAAAAAGACAAACAACAATAATAATAATAATAATAATTTGAACTTTATTAATGACCCACTTGTGTTAACAGCAGATCTTGCACAACAGGCCACCCGTTAGAGGCGCCAAGCATGTGGTTCCTATGGGAATTGAACCCCAGTAAACTATGCTAATTTTCAATAAGGAAGATAAATAATGTACTTGTACATTACTCAAGAGATATGGATTTGAAAAAAAAAAAAAAAACAACAAACAATGATGTGTCACTTACAGGTGATATTGAGTTGGAAATCCAACTCATATTGGCTGCCGTTGTGTAACACCACGCAGCCAAAGGTCACATTCTGATCATCACGGGACGGGAAAATGGTCAAGTTGCCCACGGCTTGGTACAACCCAGACCCCGGGGTCTGTTCACCTTCAACCTGGTAAAAGGGTATAACCTCTTGGCCATCCCTGGTCCAGGAGAAAGAGACAGGTGGAGGGTGGTAACCAGATGCATGGCATGTCAGGTTGCTCTCGGTCTCTAACACCACCCACTGCTGAGGGACCGACAGTGTTGGAGAAGCTATAAAAGGAGGATGGAAGAAAATATGAAAATGTTTTGTTTTGTAAATTTTGTAAACCCTAAATGTAACATCACTATAGTGCTAAAATGTTTTGTTTTGTAAATTTTGTATAACATTTTGATGAGGAAAGGTTTGAGAAATAAAAAAACAAAACAAAAAACAACCCTAAATGTAACATCACTATAGTGCAACTCTTTGGAGTTGTAGCCGATTGTACATGTATAAAGCCCTTCTAGGTCCAGACTTGTGCTGAGGATAGTCAGTGAGAAGCCTCCATTGATGAAATCAGTGGCGGGATGCTGAAGCCTCTCCTTGTTTTTCGGAGAGAGCTTCAGTGAAGGAGGCGATTACTATACCGTTTCTTATCCAGCTGGCGTCGACGAGAGACTGGTTTGTAATGTCTGCTTTAGAGACGGGGAGCGACACGTTGTAGGGCAAGGTCGCATTCGTGTTTTCGCCGGCTTGAATTTCATTCGGTGATACTGCAAACAGAGGAGGAACATTAAGATGAGAAAGTGTCTTTGAGCAGCGCCGGTTAAACTGGATTATTGCTGTAAATCTCACCATCTTTCGTTTTAATACGCCCAGTACTAATAATCATAATCTGGCCTATTATGCACTATAGAAGAAGTGAAATTCTTTATATTTTATCCCTTTCTATATCGCGGTTCTCCTTTCGAGTTAGCAGTGTGTTATGCTAACACTGAACTTCGGGCCACTGCTGCACGGCTCTATCAAAATGTGATGGATTTTGTTTTTGGTCAAATTTAGGACTGTCTAAATTAATCACGATTAATCATGCGTAATTATGATCACAATTAATCATGATTAATCTATAGTTACCCTTTGATTATTCGGATTAAAAATTTGAATAATTTGCTAGCCAAACTCTGAACCATAACCGGACGTGCACAAGTTCCAATTTAGTTTTATTCACTAGAGGTTTCACTGGTGTACATATACAGTATGCTATAATTGCAAACTATTATTTATTTATTGCATAAAATGTTTCTTCGAACAATTAACTATACTCTTCTGCTAGCTAGGTGGCTAGGTGGCAGCAGATGGCTATGAACACTAAAAAACAGATAACCAGAGCTGTCGAAGAAGATCTTTGTGAGTGTCTTTCTTCAATTCCTGCCAGTATGTCAGCATAGTCTTCAACTAAATATGAGTACATTTTTCATACATTTAAACTAGAAGATTATTATATTTCATTAAATATACTTTTTGTGAGATCTCTGTTTGGCGGTGTGTCGTGGGGTTTTTTCCCGATGATATACATGTCCCGTGGTTCAAAAAAGGTTGGGGAACACTGTATTACTGTATTAGCCTAAATGTCCAAAGTGGGAACCTGGGTACTAATATTGTACTGGTGCTATTTTTTCAACATATTAGGGTTAGTAATTGCACACAACTGGATTTAAACTAGCAACCTATGGAGAGCAGGATGAATGAGTCCATGGTGTGTAAAAACACATGGATTTAAAAACAGAATAAATGTCATATTTTGGTTTTGATACACGTTTTGTTTGTTGTAAATGCAGTATATTTAATTTCTATCAGGGGGCCACATCACCAATACAGTTCCCCTTGAAGGGCCCATTGTAAATGGAAGACTGTATAGATCAGGGATCCCCAACCCCTGGTCCGTGGACCAGTACTAGTCCATAGGTCATTTGGTACCGGGTCGCAGTGGGACACAGTGAAAAAATGTACTTCATTTTTACTAATTTACTTCATTCAAAGAACAGCCAGAAAATCCACCATATCCATTGATTATTTAAAGATAATCTGACAATAAAAGTCAGTTTGATACAAACAGAATAGAATTCTAAAAGGTGTTTTATTTAAAAAAATGGAATGATCCTTCAATGCTCAGCACCTTGTTACTCGCCTGTAGTAACGGGTGGTAAAAAAAGGTTGGGGACCGCCGGTATAGATGTAACTACTCCATAACAGACTAATTCATGTTTCTGCAATTGATTATTATTTATTCAAGCTATAAGTTTTTTTTTATTGCTGTGTAATTAAAAAGGTTCAGAAACTCTGCTGCAAAGACTTTATTAAATGCTTTTTAAACACGCAGGCCGCATTTGGCCCCCGGGCCTTGTGTTTGACACGTACGATTCATATGAGTAATTGAGTGATGATTACTCATGTTTGCAATGTGTTAAACTTAAATTACCTTTGACTGCATTCCAAACAAAGCAACAATAGCACTTAGTTAGTTAGTTGAACGGAGTTATTAGTTTATTCAGAAGGGTTTATTATATATTCTTTGTCCCATTTCTCTTTTGAGTTCAGGATAATAATAAGTCAGTAAACTTTGACTGGGTCTTTGAACCAGTGTAAATAGCAGCTCATGATGTATCTGGCCCTGACAGCTTAATTGCTAACTAGTATAATAAATACCTGTAGGCAGGCACAGATCAAGAGAACCTGGAGAACGTTGCGTAGTGCGGAGTGCTTATGTGTCATCGCTGAGTGTCACACACGAGCAGATCAAAGTGTGATCAAAGCGCGTGTGTGTGTGTGTGTGTGTGTGTGTGTGAGAACAGGCTTGACTGAAGTAGGTTTGCACTCACTTCAGGTCAACCTGAAACACTGTGACATATTACACTGCGAAATAGAAGTAAACAAACGTCGTATTAAGGAAATAACTTCAATTGTTTTGTTTTTTTCCAAAAAGGAAATAGTCCTGTCACCTAGCTTTTGGAGCTAAGTTCTAATTATTGAGATATTCCAGCTATAATCTAATAAAAATATATTTATATATCTATTTCTCGTCATACACCTGTAGCAGATTATATTATATATATACATATATATATTTATATATATATATATCTTGTCATACACCTGTAGCACACTACATTATATATATACATATATATATTTCTTGTCATACACCTGTAGCAGATTATATTATATATATACATATATATATTTATATATATATATATCTTGTCATACACCTGTAGCAGATTATATTATATATATACATATATATATTTCTTGTCATACACCTGTAGCAGACTACATTATATATATATATATTTCTTGTCATACACCTGTAGCAGATTATATTATATATATACATATATATATTTCTTGTCATACACCTGTAGCACACTACATTATATATATACATATATATATTTCTTGTCATACACCTGTAGCAGATTATATTATATATATACATATATATATTTCTTGTCATACACCTGTAGCAGATTATATTATATATATACATATATATATTTATATATATATATATCTTGTCATACACCTGTAGCAGACTACATTATATATATATATATTTCTTGTCATACACCTGTAGCAGACTACATTATATATATACATATATATATTTCTTGTCATACACCTGTAGCACACTACATTATATATATACATATATATATTTATATATATATATATATCTTGTCATACACCTGTAGCAGATTATTTTATCACATAAAATACAATTTCCTTCATTTCAAGTAAATCTAGTCATTTTCACAATGTACATTTAAAATATGTTTTTCATAATAAATATACTTCCTTTCTAGGAAGTATATTTACAAAGAAGACAAATTGGGTAGTATACTTTCTATTGAAGTATTACATTTTTTATTTTATCGTACACATCTAGTTAATCTAAGATAAGACATTGTCGAACTACATTGTGGATAAAAACTGTATATATATAAATAGTATCATCAAATTTTCAGTAAATCCAGTCTCAAATTATATGGCATTAAAGTACATTTTGTCGAACAAAGCCTTGCCTCATATTTAATTACTACCCTTTCCTTTTTTAAATTAAACATCCTTTAACAAAATATGTTTTAAAACAGAGGTAACTGTTGATTCGCATCACTGTTAGCATTTTGGTAAAACCACACAATATACAGTACATACATAGACCCTCACATTTAGACTGCGAAAACCTGACAAAAAAAAAACAACCCAAACAAAGCTACATAGCGCTGACGTTCGAACATCTACAGACCACACGTTCTGTACGTTTCCAGACTATCTGCATCAATCTGAAATACTTCAAATGTCAAAATTTTTTTAAATAAAAAAGCCAACCTGTTTTTGGTGGTTTAGAGGTGAATATATTCAATTTCTGTGTGGGTGTGTGGGTGTCGTGTGAGAGAAGCAGCACAATACTTACCACATTTTACGAGAGTCAGTAGGAAGATATTGAAGAGGACTTTACACCCCATTGCCAGGCTTGTCTTGAGACTAACTTCTTATCAGCCGACCCTTTACTGTCTTATGTAGAGCGGTGACATGACGGTGGGTGGGATCACTCTGCCGCCAAATGGGGGAAAAAAAAAGAAATATTGACCCTGTGTCTTGAAGTCTTTGTCCTTGTAAATTAGTGTGCCCAGGACTACCGATACATTGCAAAGAGCCACTGAGGGGGTGGTGGTGAGAGGGAAGGAACGCAATGGGCAGGGGACGCACAAACGGGGTAACGATCACTTAAAATTCAGCCGGGCCTCTGGCCAAAGATGTGGGCCTACTTTGCATTGGTACAGTGTTGCCATGAACAAACAGGGAGGGCAGTTCGACGGAGCTTTATGGGCAAACACTCGGGCGGTACTTCAAGTCTTTTTTTTCTGTCTGAGAGGAAAGTGTGTTTGTTGCTTCAATGCAGGGAAACAAGGAGAAAAAATCTGGAAAGCTCCATCTTTGCACCCCTTTGGTTAATGTTTAAGCCTCAAGTGTTTGATGTTCGAGGCGAAGGTGTTCCAGCTATTGTCCCCTCTGAACGTTCATTAACCGGATCAGCTGTATGAATTGTTTGACTTTGTCCTTTTTAATAACAACATTCATCAGCCATGGAATGCAGCTGTATTTGCCAATCGGCCCCTTGAGTGTTGTCTGTTACGGCTCTTCTTTGTGAATGCCTCTCTGCCTGCGGACATTGCTTAAGGCCCGGAACAGACGTCGTTTGGTTTGGTTTTCTCCTCTCCTCTGGATGTGGCAGAACAACCTGTCCGAAAATTTTCCCTCATTTAAATGTCACAGCCGTACCTTGACTAAACAACAGAAGGCCAAAAAACACGTTAGTTTAATGTGCAACGAATACTATAATAATAAATAAATGTCAGTGGAAAAAAAAACATCATGTCCCTGATGGTCTAATGGTATAAAGTTTTTAAATTTATTTCAGGAAATATACTAGCTTTTTCCAAATGGAGTACATATATGTACTGACGTCAATGTATCCAACTAGATCAGGCATCGGCAAACTATGGCCCAGGGGGCCGAATGCGGCCCGTTTGGCTTTTTAATCCGGCCTAAAAAACTTGTCCAAATGATGTTATTAATTTCTATTTTTGTTATATTTCTGCCTTTCCCCTGCAATGCCTGCATTTCCCTAATAAATGGCATCAAAAAGGCTAAAAGCATTTTAGCATTTTAGCATTTTAGCCTTTACTGACTGACTTTTACATGTCATTTGTTTCAGTTCATATGAATGAATGCTCCATCTCTCTGCTCCTGACCCGGTGCCCCGTCAAATTTTATGACCCATAGTGCCGCGCCAGTCAAAAAGTTTGCCCACACCTGAACTAGATACATGTATTGAACATATACTGAATTTAAATCCATGATTTACATAGTGTAGCGCTTTGGCCCAGAGGCAATGTCTCCGTCATTGGTGTGGCGCCACCTCCTGGGCAATATCGAATCCTGGTTAGGGCGGTTGGTAAATTTATTGACTAGGTTGATCGGACACCATTAATGAGGGGTAGATAACACACGTATACTTTTGACTCTTTGCAAATGACACAAGCTGCCACAGGAGGCACTATTGAGTACATGGTTGCAACTCACAGGCTGCCACGTGGGAGGCGTCATTAGGGCTATGTGGATCCTTTGGGAATCAAACCCAAGATCCGAGACTTTGCTTGCCAGGCAGGAGTACTAACCCCCTACAGTATGAAACAACCATATAAGGTCATGTACAGATCACTTATAGTATGTACACACAAACACACACATATATATATATATATACAGTGAACCCTCTGCTATTGTGAATATAGCTGCGTTCCAAGACCCACCGAAATGGGAAAAATCGCAAAGTAGAGGTGAGATAGTTATTGTATTATTTAAATATATATTTACCCTTTACGAACCTCCCCCACACTGTTATCAACCCTCCCTAGACTGTATTACAATTTCCCACACAATTATATCCTCAGTAGAGTTGTATAATAGCGACGCAGAGCGACGTGAACGAGAGAGTGGCCGACAGACAAGGGGGAGATGCTGAGAGATGCTACGACGCGTGAGCCAATCAGCATGAGGATCAGAACAGGAGAGCATGATCAATTAGCCAATAGTACACCGAGTACGCGTTGCGTTAGCCGACAGTACGCTACGTACGATTTCGTCTAGGTAAACAAAGCTACCAGCGATAGTTCGCAAATGCGCTTATCTCCATTTCAAAAGGAAAATCCACATTTTTTTTAAAGCCAAAACGTACGTATGTACGTATAAATATTGTATAATGTATTTTAGTTTATTCTTTGCTATATTTCGCGACACAGCGAAAAGTTTTCGTGAGATTTGGATTTAAAAAAAAACAAATTGCAATGTAATGTACTGTAGCTGTATATGCATATATATTTATTCCTATATTCTATATATGTATATACATTTGTTATATATGTTTGTTAGATTGATTGTATATATTTATATAAATACTCTCTCTATTTCTTGAAACTACAGGGCACATAGGCCACCTTTGGAATAAAGTCGGGTCTAGACAAATGAAATACTGTACATTTTAGTTTCACATCCATCCCAGCTGTGGTTGGCTGAGCTATTTGGCAAAGCCACAACACAAGAGAGGCGTGGAATGTAGACAGAGCTTTTTGAATTAAATTATACAATGGGAAGAGAAACCGTGTGTTGGTATGACATTAAACAGGTTTGAGAGGTTAGGGAGTGGTTGTACAGTAAATCTAAATAAGAAAACTCCTTACCCTCTTCTCACACATCAACATGGCAACAAACGCCGCACTACTGCTCTGCCTCTCCACGGTCCTCATTACCAAAGGTGAGTCCGAATTTTACACGTACAATCGCAGTCCGAAGCTTCCGTGTGTTTTGTTTTGCTCGGGGTAACCTCAGAAGGATATTTGATCAACAGGTTCCATAATTCTGTCTGAAATATATAGAGACATATAGTGGTGTGCTGTGTCACAATGACAAGCACATAGAGTGGTGTGCTGTGTCACAATGACCAGTAGTTCACTTTCAATTTCACTTTAAATGAGGTTACTTTTTTTTTTTTTTTTTTAATGTAGCATTTCAAACATTAGAGAGACATAAAGGTACATTTCATACATTTCAATGAGAGGGATAAGGAATGTACAGGTACAGATTTTTGGATGGAATATGCAGAATTGTATAGTAATGATGTTTAGTGTAAGAGCAGAGGAGGCGGGGCGGATAGGCCGAGATGGAGGCAGATGATAAACTCTGGCGATTCCTGAAATGAGCAACACGAAGAAAAAGACACAATTTGACCTTATGGTCAACTCAAAGTACAGTGATCCCTTGCTATAACGCGGTTTACTTTTCACGGTTTCGCTACTTCACGGATTTGCATCGTGCATTGTGTTCTGCATTCTGATTGGCTAAAAAGTCACTCCGCTTCTTCTCTACCTGTGCGCCAATAACGTTGCGGTTTAATATGTACGAACTCAAAGTATTTGAATGTGTAGTTCGACTAGTTCACATTCTGCATTTCTCTGGACAGTGGGAGAAAACATAGAATATTAGAGGGTCAGTTGGTCTCAGCCTGACGTCTCGCGTGCCACAGTGACTTGGCATATTGTCCTAAAGCTAGAAAGGACAAGAGGAAACAGCAGGAGGTTCAGTGGCCTCTCACGGCTGAGGACAGAAACACACAACCTTACAATGTACAGTACAACTAGAAACAGAGTGAAATAACAGTTGTATCTTTTTTTTTCTTCCCTACAGGGTCAAAGGCACAGGGTGAGTGTTGTCACTTTTGTAATGATTTCACAATGAACCTGAACTAGTGTTTGGCAGCAAGGGTTTCTTGTCATGTTTATGTATTTACCAGTTAGCATGAATGCACTGAATGAGATACAATAGACAGACAATGACGATAGATCATGTTTTAGCTTCATGTGTTGCCCAACTGACCTTAACGCCTTCAGAATCTAACGTTGATGTTAAATACATCAACCACACACACACACATACATGCATACATACATACATAGCGTAATTTCCGTACTGTTGAGCGCACCTGGATATAAGCCGCACTCACAAAATTAAAAAAGTATTTTAATTCATTAAAATTAAAAATACTATAATAATAAATGTCAGTGGAAAAAATGATGGTCTAATGGTATAAAGTTTTAAATTTATTTCAGGAAATATACTAGCTTTTTCCAAATAGACTACATATATGTACTGACGTCAATGTATCCAACTAGATCAGGCATCGGCAAACTATGGCCCAGGGGGCCGAATGCGGCCCGTTTGGCTTCTTAATCCGGCCCACCAAACTTGTCCAAATGATGTTATTAATTTCTATTTTTGTTATATTTCTGCCTTTCCCCTGCAATGCCTGCATTTCCCTAATAAATGGCATCAAAAAGGCTAAAAGCATTTTAGCATTTTAGCCTTTACTGACTGACTTTTACATGTCATTTGTTTCAGTTCATATGAATGAATGCTCCATCTCTCTGCTCCTGACCCGGTGCCCCGTCAAATTCATAGTGCCCCGCCAGTCAAAAAGGGCTCAAACTGCTCTCAACTTTAGC